ATACATTACATATATACAATCATTTATACATTTTCTTTTCTTACACATTTAAGGGGTAAGAGTGGTATTACCCCCATAAACATAAGAAAATAGATTGAGTATTCAATGTATTTTTGTTGAGCCCGTAGAGAAAACATGTCTTGGCTTGGATAAAATGTCGTCTGTCAGTCGCTTCGCTTCAAGTCTCCCATTTGATCACTAGATCACCTTTAAGGAAGCACGTAGAGTAGCCCATCAGCGAGAGGTAATGAAATCTTCAATATATTTCTCGATTTGCTATATCACTATGCTGTATTTCGTTTGCTGCGCAGTATTAGGCGGCGTAGTTGTCGGATGAATATGAACAGGCAAATCCCAAATCATCGTCTCAACGTCTAAAGTCATTGGCCCTTGCCAGTTCACCGCGGTTTCATTGGGCATCTCTAACAATTTAGCAGTAGTGACGAATTCGAAATGTAATCTCCACTTGAGCGTCATTAAATCGGTAGTAAAGTCAGGAGTTACGTGCAGCGGTATAGGCAATACCAGATGAGAGTATTTCAAGCCCATGCACATTTCATGATGTTTGTTGTAACTGACTAACGTCGGCGTCGTTGCTTTTCCTCGCCTGTAATCTTCGGAGACGTGTTCCTCGGACTGCAATGCGACCGAGACTTGAGCGCAGGAGACAGTAGCGTTTGAGAAATCGAATGTCCCGACTATGTCCTCCCCGAGTTTGTAAGAATTTTTGAATAGACAGAATCTTACTACGCGTCCACGTCCGTTCGTGATGTTATAAAAGTTCGGGCTACGTCTGGCTGTTAAATTCTACATGGAACAGTGAAATCTTAAGGCTTGACCAACAAACCTATTGATTTTCAGTAATAAATTTAACAAACCTGAAGAGTCTGCAGTGCAACGTCCAAGGGAGTTTCTCTGTGTTGCGTTTCCATGAAGGGATTATTCGGACTTAAATCCACGCTGTCATTGCAAGCTGTTACTTCAGGCAATTCTGTTGAAAGTTATTTGATATGTTCAAAATGATTAAACGTTGTTTTAATAAACGAGATTAAAGAATGAATTACCGCTTAATGAAAGTACTCTGAATGGAACTCTCAGTAATTTTATAGCTGTGTTCACTCTTTGCGTTCCAACAGTAATTTTGTAAGAATATTTTATTGCATGTCCTCTATAAGACGGGGGTGCATCACTTGGAATTGTCTCTCGATAGATATCTATAAAATTTATATGTACAATATTTTCATGTCAAAAGCGTGACATATCGAAATTAAAAACTCACATGTTTTACTTTCACCAGGGGATAATCTTAAATCACAAAACAATATCTTTGGCTTTGTATTTAAAACAACATGCCCATTATCCTGCTGCCATGGAGCAAACGTTGTATCTGCAAGATTATTACTTATTATAAAACCTATAAGTAATCATAAAAATAGCAAGGACGAAAACTTGATTAACTCACTCGCGTTGATAGCTCCCAATCGAGCTGTCGTGTTTATCTTTTCTGAGAGGACAAGTTTACTGTTCGTGGAGCATTGACAATGCACCTGAGCACTGGCCCACGCAAGGCTCTCGAAAATATCACTGAAATGAATAATTACGCTTCGATTTTTGATAGAAATAAATTAAGATAATATACTTCACCTGTGACTTTGAGAAATTTGATGTATGGGATTCGGAGGATTGCTAAACGTAACCAAACACTCGATAACTTCCCCAGAAAAATATACTGGCCCCCTAATTAATTTCGCCGTTATTTCAATCATGATGTTTATTAATTATGACTTTTAATCTTATTAGATGTATTATATTTACACCGCAGTACATTAACCTTCCGTGTCATTTCATGAACAGAATTTTCATGAGGGATTTCAATTACTATTTTTATGCATTTGATACGATAAAAATGTGTGATTTTCGTTGATTTTTAATAGATACTTTAAATCGATGTTGAACTTGAAATTCGTACGAGAATGTGTAAATGTCAAGATGTAGCTTTCGTGCAATTAACACTTCATCGATATTGATACACAATGCGTCAATTTCAACTTAAATATTATTTATTCCCTTGCAAACATGATATTTTTGTTTAAATCTTGTTGATCTAGTTTTCATTGCTGGCAATTTTATTTATTACTATTAGGATCTTATGAGATTTTATCTTTCCAGTACATCTTAAATGCTTCAATTTCGTTTCATACATAGTACTTATGCGTGAAATAAATTAACGAGTGATTTCTTGAAAATGTGAGCATATTTGTGAATACGAACATGATAATATGAGCATAATTTATTCACAAATGAAGTATAATATTTGTACATGCATAAAAAATCACAATTTTACGTTTGTTTAGTTATTCTGTATAATCACGTTAAAAGTTGAATGTTATATTATAATGTCGAGAATCACTGGCTGCGAAATTTTTAATCAGAACGATGACAAATATATGCTGTACGCAGAGTGGTATGATTCGTATTTTAAAATAATATTGATGGAAACGGCAGGAAAACCATTGATTGGTGAGGTTAGTATGGAAATCGCGTTTATTAACTTCAGTAAATGAATAATAATAAAAATAATAAGACTTTATTTCAACCTTGAACCCAAGAAATGTAGACTTGATTTATATTTACTATTCTAATTCCCTCATCTTTTTCTTTCACACAAGCATATACTCTTTCTCTCTCTTATTTTTATTTTGTTTAATTACTATACACTTAGCTCTAACATCCTTTATATACTATGTACAATATCTGTGTATTTCACATCAGATCTGCTTACTTCCTTTCCTGTCATAGGTTTTTAAACCAATTTTCTATCTTTTCATCTATCCTTCCACTTACTATGACCGGTATTCAAAATCGTTGCTTATTTTTATGATCGTCTTAAGCTATCTTAAGCTTTTGCTATCCCTATCTGTCCCATATTTCCAGTCCCTGTCTTGTACAGGAAACAGTCTTTCCATTTTCCAGAAGTTTGTTACTAAATATTTCAATATAGCACATTTATCATCAGACAGGTCACAGCTCGTTTTCTCCTGTTTTTCCTAATATCTGTTCCACCTTTCTGTAATGTCACACTTAACTTGTGCTATTAATTGCTATCTTCCTTTCCTTCTTTATTCAGATACTCCAGGGTTCCTATTGTCCTAATATATTTGTATCTTAGGTTGTACTGTAATTTTTCTATCTTTACATCCTGTATTTGTAATTGGGCATCAAAATTCATTTTTGTCTGTTCTTCACCTGTTTGTCTGTGAGAAGGGGACTATAGAGGTGGTTGCAACACACGGGCAATTATATAGTAAAAATTCTTGAATAATTCCTGGTTTGTGCTTAAGAACGTTATCCTGATATAAATAGTATAATGAACACACTATTTCACGGATCGATTCTTTCTTTTCCAAATGAAATATTACTAATTGTCGTTTTTTAAAACTTGTATAGCTTCAGATATCATTTACAGAAACAGGAAAAGACTAACGCACATTTGAAAAGCTCAGATAACATGACAAATTGTAAATAAACATTGTATGTACACATTGGCAATAGAGAAATGGCTTAACCAGTATAACGTCCAAAACTTTTTGTGCTATTAAAATTCGCTGTTCTTCAATGTTTCTCTGAATATTTAGGCAACAACAGATAATAAATTTTTAATTTTTTCTCTGCTACTATTTCTGTCTTGCTTTTATTCTTAATATTTTCCTCTTCGGTTCCTTGAGCATTATATCACGTGAATATCTAATCCGAGTACCTACTTTGAGTACCGTAGTTGAACTCTTCCTGCCCAATAAATGGATAATAAAGTCCTTTTTATAGACTTGAAGTTACCGTTTAGTAAATGCCATTTGTACATTACAGATGAGTACCGATGATGTGAATGATTTTTCTCGCGAATTGTCTAAATCATCTGACGAGTATTTCGAAGAGACGAAAAGAATATTTTGTGGCAAGGATAAAACAATAAATTTCCTTGTCACAGAAGAAACTTTTCAATGGAGGAACAAATTGTGGACTCTCGGGAAAATCAAATTAAGTTCTCCATCGGATACTCGCTTTATATATCAAAGCTTCCAACAGTTATTAAAAATATACCAACCTATGCAAGATAAGATGAACACAATGGGAGAAGAAAATAAAATTTTAATAGATACAAACAAAGAATTAAGTTCAAAAGTGAATCAAATGATTAAAATGAAAACTGCTATGGAAAGAGATCTTTATAAGAAGTTTGTACTCGTCTTAAATTCAAAGAAAAAGAAGCTCAGGGAATTAGAAAGGAAAGTAGGAAGCACGAATGAGGAATCAGTTTATAATGCATCTACAGATGAAGGCGAGTCAGAAGAAGAAAAAGACATTGTGGAAAAAAAATCCACGCGATGTACCATAGCCACTAAGAGAAAATCAACAAATAAGAATGTTAAAGATACACAAGAAAGTAAAAAGAAGATTATCTCCTATGAGATAAATCCTAAACCTTCTACAAGTAAAGAAGGTACAACGACGACAAAATTAATTAATTACGAAGAACAGAGTTGTAGCTCTGAACACAGAAAATCAACAAGCAGTTTAAACTTTTTCGAAGAAGTACCTGAGGAAGATTTATTTTCTTAATCATTTATATTTGTTGTCTTTTTATACTTAATTTTAAAAAGATAATTTTGTGCAATGAAAAATATGGAAGCGATTTATTTATTCCAGTGAAAATTCTTATTGGTGATTATGTTTATCTGTGTGACAGGTAACATAATTTTGTCTAATTTATTTAATAATCGATATCAATGAAATTGTGTAATATAAATGATTATTACAAAAGTGTATTGTACATACATAAATGTTCAACAACTCTCTTGTATTCGTAGATTTTAATAAAATTACAAAAGGTCGTGTACATGTCGCGTGCTAGCCATCTTGGCAACTCTTATTGCATCAGGTCTCAGATCAGGTCAGGGTCAGACATCAGACCAGACCACTGTTGGGCACATCGTGGGATTGTAGCCGAGTGACGTACATGCTTACTTTTTCAATTTAAAAGTTCCATTAGATCTCGAGTGCGAAGACAAGCTTGGAATTAAAACTAATCTCGAAAATAAAACATAGTACGTTATCTGACTGCATGATATTTGAAAATCCCACGATGTGCCTAACACTCGCGCACGCCCCAAAATCCTACGATGTGCCCACCACTGGTGCCCAACACTGGTTAACACTGGTCCGAAGGACCACATGTATTGAAGTTGAGTGAAGTAGAGTAGAGTGGAGTAGTGTGATTATTTCAACAAGTGAATGCAAATTACTACGTACGAATTATTCTGCATGGTTGATTTGATTCGAAAAGAAAGAATTAAATAAGCGAATGGTAGAATGATTGAATTATCGTCGAACAAACAATGAAAAATTTTTTTCCTTATCGATAATAAATCTTCACCTGCAAGTGTCACACTTATCGAGATAAAGAAGAATGTAACATTAGATAGAACGAAATGTGATTAATGTGTTAAGTGACGAAGTAGTGTTCGGACATTTGAAAAAGTGAAGATATCGCATTTAAAATGGAAATTAATAAAAAACACGTAGTCTTGGTGACGGGGTTCGGTCCGTTCGACAATCACATTGTTAACGCCAGCTGGGAAGCTGTCAGAGAATTAAATAAATTATGCGCTAATTCGAAAGAATTGATAGACGTGCACGTGATCGCAAAAGCAATTCCAGTTTCGTACGAGGACGTGAACGCGTGTATACCGAAACTTTGGGAAGAACACAAGCCTATGGTAAAGATCTTTATTTGTAGAAAGGCTCCTCTAATCTTTCACACATAAACAATCACACACTTTTTCTACTAGGTAGTCTTGCACGTAGGTGTGAGTTCGAATGCAAAATGTTTAACTATAGAGTGTTTGGCTCACAGCACTGGTTACGTGAGATCAGACATATATGGCAAGTGCCCAAAAGAAAGCACCGTTGAACCTGAAATTTTTGAAACTAAAATCGATGTAAAAAAGATATGCAATATGATCAACGATAATTCAGAACAGATAACATGCAATGCTTGCATTTCACGCAACGCAGGAAAATATCTGTGCGAATATATATTTTTTAAGTCCTTACAGATTTCACCGAAAAGAACGCTATTTGTCCATGTACCTGATTTTCATCACTATTCTAGTCTACAAACTGCTAAAGGATTATATTACATATTATGTTTCTTGATTAATGATGTAAAAAATAATGAAATATAGGATAATATTACATAGTAATACATATATAAATTATGTATAATGTATATAATATAATGTATATTATCAAAATTATTAATAAAATGTTGTAACATTTCAAAAGTGTATTATACGATATAAAAATTATTTTTTATAGACATATGTACATTATAAATTTATTGCTGACTTGTCTATGATCCTCCATGCTGAAATCTGGTACGTGCTGGTGGTATATTGTATCTAAGTTCTAAAAATTCTGGTTTCCTTATCATTAAAGCCACATGACCCATTTGAATCGCACAATCAGGGTTTACATTTGAAGGTAATAATGTACATTCTCGTTCCAAAATGCACGCCAATCCTTCTAAGAGCTCCACAAATCCCATTGAAGCAGCAGATTTACGCAATCTGTTTACTTCCTGTTAGGAAATAAAAGAATGTTACGAAAAAAAGTATGCGACTTTAGTGTGTTGTAACTTTACCTTATAAAAGTTTTGCGTTTTTTCTGGTAATTTCCTTGCGTGTCTTAAGATCTTCTGAATATCAGATTGTAAACCAACTTGACGAATCCAAGAAGGTGCATACTGAGTATAACTTCTTTTCTCATTTGACCTAACTGGAAAACTGAGGACGGCATCTTTAGCTGTATCGATTGGACCCAAATTACTGAAATTACCCAACCAGGGCACAACATCTAGACCCGGTTCCAATACTGTTAACATTAAGTTCGATTTCTTTTTTGTATCTGCCCATGAGTATATAAAACCGTACCACTCATTATTCAGTAAGCAAAGTGCTACCATATTTTCAACCTGCAAGAAATTCTTTCATTTGTGGGCACTTAAAAATATAAACTTGTTGAGATGTTACCTTCAAAGCTCCATGTAACAGTACGCAGAAGGATGGTATTTTCCCCTCATCACCATTCTCATCCGTATCCGAATCTTCTTCCAAAGATATCCCTTGCATACTTGAAGTCTTTTCTGTAGCTAATGGCAATACTAAATGCCTAGATATAGCGCTAGGACTACCGACATCCGCTACCGATATAAATCCACAAATTTCTATAGTTTTTGATATCATCAAGCCAGACACTAATTCAAAATCTGCTTTCTTGGTATAGGGCTAAAATAAGATTTTCATCTCAAGCTTGAAGCAATTTATCTCTTTTAAAATTATTTACCATTGGAGCTGGTGAGAGAAGAATACGGGAACCTAAGTGTCCGCACTTCAAGTACCCATGGAAAGATACATAGTTAGTTTCTGCTAATTTTTGGAAACAAGCTGTGACTGAATGTTTTGAAAGTGGTGTTTCAGGAACTAATACCACACTATCACCCCCAGCAAGCTCGACCAATCTTTGGTACAGTGGTAACCCAACATGCAAGCCAGCATCTAATAAAACATTAAAAATAGTCAGTTTCAGAAAGATAATTAAGTTGCTATGTTTTAACATACCTTGTTGTGATGCAATGCAAACCACGCTTAATTTTCCTGGATAAGGAAAAGGTAATGGAAATGGATTTACATCTCTCGTTACATTCAGTGAATTCAAGGATTCACCCAAAGACATCGGTCCTACTCCAGGATTACCATCGGTAATTAATACTACTTGACAAGCTGTAGTATTACCCCATTCTGCCATAATAACATTGTTTACACCATGCAAAGCAGTTTCAATACAAGTCTTATCACATTCCTCAATGTTTTGCAATTTTGAACGTATGGTGTCATAATCACGAGTAAATGGACAGATAACTTCATACAATGATGAAAACACAACCTAAATCAAAAATACAATAGTTTGTCAATGAAAACTAACAAATAATATAATACTTATTGCTGTCATAAAAGTTATTACTAGGGCTACAAATTCCAACTTCGAATTTGCTTGTAAATAATGTAACAACGCATTTATTCCGTGTACAGCTAAATGATGCCTCGTTAATTGTTCATTTTGGTTATTTTCTCCGATCAAACTACCCGATACTGGACGTCTCATTGACAGAGACACGTCTAATGCTATAACTGTTGGCATTCTTTTTTATAAATCTTCTCTATCTACATGGATACGATCTTTCTCCAAAAGCAATAATTTCATATGCTACCTAAAAATTTGAGATTCAGTACCACTTTGTTTACTTTCATAACCTAGCAATGCTACGTCTATATATTAGAGTCGGCTATGGTTGGTTGCACCGGTTGCACTACACGAAACCTAGATTCCCGCGGTGTTGCTATTTTGTTCTCAGCTGTGGCAATATGCATATGATTTTTATTTTTATTAATGAATACTATACGCGAAGAAACTGCGTTAATTTGTAACAAATATTTACAATCAAATGATCATTTTATACGATTGAATCGGAATGTTTCGTTGGGCTATTCATGAAAAACAAACGCATACATTTGTGTGACTATGTGGTTATACGTGATTACAACTATGTTTGGGTACCTAATGCAATTTCTTACAAATTAAACATGATTAAAATAAGAAAGTCGGTAATGCGTAAATTAAGCGCATTATCAGAAATTCGATAAATTCGTAAGCGAAGTACACATCTGTGTACGCATACATATATGTATGTATGTTGTATCTATAAGCAGTACAAGCATTTCTCCCATCAGTCCATCATTTTCAAATGTGTGCGTCATCAGCTGATCTGTTTGCGCAAAGCGTAGTGGGACAAATAACACTTGATATAACATGAATATAACGCTTAGGAGTTTTTTAGTCGTCGTGCTGAGTATTTTCTTCGCGAGATCTCCAAATTGTGAAGTTAATTATAAACTATAAATTGGAGTATACGGATTTTAATGAAATTGAAAGTCCGACCAACAAAAGGACCTGATACAATGCGCTTGGGTTTCATTATCTTATCAATTTCATTGCATTCTATTTTGAATGTGAATTCGTGGCATTTTAAAAACAAGCAATTATCTCCCGTTATACTTAGTAAAGTTCTTTATTCTTCAAACGATTTCGTAGGATATTGTCTGTGACACTAGAATTAACATAATATTGTACCAAAAGTTCCAGGCGATGGCGGCAGCCAAGTTGAAGCAAAACTCAACAAAACATCAGTGGTACACTATTTATGTGAAAAGATTTCGACTGAATACTTTAATATCTGGTTAAATTTGGAATTACTGGTGCCAGTTGTAATAGATTGTTGGGTAATTAATATATTATTATTCGTTTTTTTATGATAATACATTATGAGTGCATCATGATAATAATAGTGATTTGTTCCAGATTGATAATATGAAATTAAATTATGACAATGTTACAAGAACGACCAAAAATCAAGATGGTGTTGATATACGTATACCAGGTTGGGGTGATCCTCTTGTTGTCGAATATTTAGATCCAAGTAAAGCTTCTCCTGGAAGCTACTTCAAAGATATTGCTAACATGTTGGTAGATCAAATTGGATATGTTAGGAATAATTCTTTACGTGGTGCACCTTATGATTTTAGAAAAGGACCCAGTATGTATATTTATTGTTAGTGTTCATAATTATGTAGAAGATTGTTCGTAGTTCATTGAAACAAATAATTAGTTTAGATTAATGTCAAAGTCAGATTTCAAATCATCGGTTATTTTCAGACGAAAATGAAGAATTATTTAAAAAATTAAAAGATTTAGTTGAAGAAACTTACAACATGAATAAACAAACACCAGTGACATTATTAGCGCACAGTATGGGTGGACCAATGACGCTTATATTCTTACAACGTCAGTCGCCGACGTGGAAAGACAAATACATAAATTGCCTGATCACACTCGCAGGCGTTTGGGGTGGTAGCGTTAAAGCTCTTAAAGTTTTCGCGATCGGTACGTAATATGTTTGATACAAACATATTGGTTGTAAGCATAGATACATGTAATTATTTCACAATTGAAGGAGATGATTTAGGTGCATATCTCTTACGCCAAAGTACTCTGAAAGATGAGCAAATAACTAGTCCCAGCTTAGGATGGTTATTACCATCGAAATTATTTTGGAAGGATACCGAAGTATTGGTGCAAACAGCAGAAAAAAATTATACATTGTCTACGCTACGAGATTATCTAATGTACGATACAATTTGTACTGTAATCAATGTATCATCTGATTATTCACAATAACGTTTTACTAACGTTTTATTTACAGAGATATAAATGTCCCAAATGGCTGGGAATTTAGAAAGGACAACGAAAAATATCAATTAGACTTTACTGCTCCTGGAGTCGAGGTACACTGTTTGTATGGAGCTGGTATAGACACAGTACAAAGGTATGTCAATATGATTTTATCAGTCAAGTACTGAGCTACATATGTGACTCATTTCCCAGATTATATTATAAGCCTGGTACGTCGATAGAAGGGATACCTCAATTAATTCCTGGTGATGGTGACGGTACTGTAAATTTAAGAAGTTTAGAGGCTTGTAAATATTGGCAGGGTAAACAAAAACAGAAAGTTTATTCTCAAGTCTTCCCTGGTCTGAATCATATGGATATCCTTAAGAATAATAGTGTCTTAAATTATATTCAAACAGTTCTAAAAGTATGATGTTATCATCTAGGCCAGAGGTGGGGAACGTACGTCCTCCTTGTACGTTTTCAAATTTTATTCATATTTTAATATATATAATTACTTTCAAATAAGAAACGATTGCAAATATCCCACTAACTTAAATTTTCCATCAGATTTTAAAATTATTTTCCGTATCATTGCTATGTTAGTTATTTGTAACTTAATATTATTATTTTCCTTTTGTATTTCTGTATGTAATTAATTTATTTAAAAATACTTTCACTAATATCATTTTCAATTGAAGTGCTATTTGAATACGTAATTAGGTAACTTAAATGTTGCTTCTAGTGGTAAAAAGGTTCCCCACCTCTGATGTAGGCAATGACATCTTCATACATATATTTCTCAAAAGTGTAATTAAAATGAAAAGTATGACTCACATAATAATACTTTACAACATGATATAACACATAACAAGAATATGACAATGACATTTTGCGATTAGAAATAATAGTTGAAATACTGTTCTATAGAATGTATGTGTAGATATACATATGTACAATTATTAACATTCTTAAGTACTAAGAAAATGATGAGCGGTTTTCCGGTACGTAAACGCAAGAAACAATACATTTTTTACTTATGTACATACATAATTCGGATGGCGATATATTTTTTGCCATTTTTATATGTATATATTTTATTTATTAGTGTATGAATGGACTTTTTTATGAAACAAGGAAACAATTTTTTCTTCTACATTGGGATTTATATAATATATTAAAAGTTCGCCAACATATTTTTTCTACTACAAAATTTCAGGTACAAATTTATTAAATATAGATTGTTCCATCTTTATTTGTAACATAATTTCATTCATTTGAAAGTAAATGTTTACAGAATATTTAAAGATATTAATTGGTTTATAATAATGTATATTTATCGTAATAAAATCCCAATAAAAAAACAGCAGGAAACAAGTTAATATAAATCAGAGGTACATGAACAGGAATAAATGAAAATCAAAAGTATGTTCTTTTATTAATAATCACTGTCTTACCACTACGGTAATTTGAATTTCGCTGGCGAATTTCAATAAATATGCATATGATTGCATCACAGATTATAAGGACACAATGACAATCTAAGCAACAAATACATATATACATACATATATATTTCACGTTTAAAAAACTTGTTTAATATTTCAAAATATACATATTGCGGATATATATATTTTTCACAAACGCGTGTATATGCTTTGGCGCTTTCACCACTTACACTGTCCCTTAAGCTTTGGTTTCTTTTCTGACATTTAAATGTCGAGTTTAAAGAACACAACAGAAAGGCAGCGCAGGAATGCTCAAAATACTCTTACGAAAAATGCTCATTGTATTTAAGAACAAATTCTTCAATCGCCGTTTAATAAAAGTTGTTGATCCTTGATATTATACTTCTTTTTACAGTACTCGATAAATCGTTTCGTTATGTTCGTGTGCCGAGCAATTCGCCTTCTTATTTATCAAGCTAATATGCGTATGAATATAAAGTGGAAGGAAAGGTGATCGAAAGATGCGGCAATCAATCTATTGTCCAAATAGATTAAATTGACCTAATGTCAGTTGAAACCAGACGAGGATCTTAAGAATGCGTATAAACCTATCGCCAAAATTGTCACTACCGTTATAGTCTTGTACCTTCTAATGCGATACGGTATTCTTGGTGTAGATTGCACGATTTTAAGTCGACGTTGTCTTTCTCTCTCTTGTCGAGATGCATCCGCCTGTGCCTTCCATTCTTGCTCTTTGCGTTTTCGTTTTCGATCGTATTCTTTAACATCGTTAACGATAGATTCCGGAGGATATTCACGGTATAGCATCTTTGCTTCATTTAAAAGCGTCTCAAAAGGCAAATCGTCCGGTAACTATGAGCAAAATCTATATGAAATCTACTGAAATCAATACACATAAATTTACACCACAATAGAATGTTACTCACAGTACACAAAACTTTATGCGTATGGCCCATATCCGGTGTCGTATTAAAAATTTCTGTTGCTCTGTGGGCTACAATTACAGTACTTAAGTAAAGAGGCATCAAGGGAGGGCTACCAAGAAAATAATCAAACAATCTGTGTAACAGTTTTCTATTTTCCGCATACTTGTGCGCATACCAGGTTGTGTATTCTGCCAATGCAAAATGCGGAAATAATTCTACACTAAAAATATAAATCCGATTTAATAATGTCTATCGTGAGAAATATATTAAAATGTTTTTCTCATACTAACTTTTCCAAATGTTCTAACAAGGTAGGGTGCACTCTTTCTAGGAGGGCAAATATATAAAACAGTTCTTGATTTACTTTTTCCATTGTCTTCTCCATGAATCTTTCGAGAAATTCTAAAGAAATCGTCTCAAGCACACGTAAACTTTTTTCTAAGCCCATGACAAGCAAAATGGTTGCAGCTACATCATTATATCCCTGGTAATAACTAATCACGTATTATTTTACTTTGTACTACCTGTGTAGATATGCTTAAAATTGATGATTTTACAACGATAGCCTTTCGGCTATGAGAAATGTACACAATGATAAATGTATGCATAATACTAACTTTAATGTTGTATGTTTGTGAAGAACCCAACACATCAATTGTGTCAATTGTTCATGAAAGTTATCTATCTCCTCTTGAGTAGCATCCTGAGAAATATGACTACCACTACGAGCAACATCCTTTAATATTTGTTGATAAATTTCATTTGGTATGTGATTGTGTATAGTTTCTAGTCCATTCACGGAATAAATAGTTTCTTCAGAAAGCCTCAAAAGCTTTGGCCATAGAACCCTTCGTATATCATCTACAGATCATCTTTATGATTTCAACATTTAATTACTAGATATACAATTATTTTCAATAAGGAACCTGTTATTTCGTTTCACCATCTACTTCAAGTACGTTCGTGCGATACAAATCCCACAATCTACAGACAAATTAAGCAATATCAATGAGGTAAAGGTTCCTTGTTGATAATAATTGAACGAAAACACTGATAAAAATACCATTAACTAGACCCTCGCTGCTGCAACCCAGTAGTTTGAGTTCTCCTAATGTCAGATTCGGATTGACAACACTTCCCCGAATGATGTTTATCTTCATTTTCTCTCTGTTCGACAATGCCTCTGCATCGCCAAAATTAGGGTCTAATGAAGAATCATTGTCATCGCGATTTAACATTCCGTTTTGTTTACCTGACGAACTAATGTCCGCGAGATCAGGTATTCGCGGTATAACGTTATCGTACCATGCTTTCACGGAATCGGACATTCTCACCAGTGGTACGTCACTGTCAGAATCGGAGGTTTCTCCTTTTTTCGATGAAGAGTTCACTGTTTCAATTACATTTCTCCGTCGAACTTTCAGGTTATGATCTTCTGTAGAAATTGACATTTCCTCGGATGTTTCTGGGACACCGGAATCCAAAAACATTTTATCTTCTTCAGTTTCCATGTTCCTCGACATATCGAATTCATACCAAAAATTGCCCGGCACGTTTCATTGTACGAAAAATTTACAAACAGCTCCCTGAATTTCTGACAAAACGGCGACAATCTGCGACGATTTGGTGCGAGCTGTCAAGAATGACACGCATTGATCACAACCACCCACCGTCCCTCGCACAGAGCCACATACGGAGTAAAAGTTCCTTATTCTTAAAATTCAGCTGACGAAGCTGACGACTGACTGTCAGACGAGTGACGAGTGACGACGACGACGACTGACGACACTAACACTAACTACGTGACAACAGTGCGACGACGTGGCTCATCGTTTTTCTCATTTTATCCTACGCACCAGCGTTACCAGATCGCGGGATTTCTCCTCTTCCCGTGCTGTCCCCAGTAAGTACTATCTTCCATATACACTTACGTTATGTTACAAAATTGAAGTTGTACATCGCACAATTCGCCCGTATTGAATTTTTATATATTGTACAAAAGTTTCCTTATTTCGAATCGATGCTATTCATGTACTGCAGTTATTAGGCTCTCAACATTACCGATTTGACATGGTACAATTATTTTTCGAATTGTAGATGTCGTTCTAACAATGTGAAGTCCCGCTTGAAGTTTGCTGCGAGGTAATATGATGTGATGTAAGATACTCGTGTTCGACCATTGTATCAGAGTAAAAAGTAAGCAAAATTCGCCAATGTAGTGATTAACGAAAGCGGAAATAGTTCGTATCTTAATGCTAACAAATTTTTCTACAGGGTACTAAGGAAGAACTGGAAATGGCTAATGCATTATACAACATTATTTTCAAAAGATCCTCAACGTTCGTTCTGGCCATTTTGGCAACCAGTTTTATCTTCGAACGAGGACTCGATGTAGTTACAGATAGTATATTTGACAGCGTTAACAGAGGGGTACGTATGAAAAATGAATTATTATTCTTAATCATCAACGACGATTGATTCTGCACGTGACAAATTAATCGGAACATTAGCTTCGATATTGTTTCACAGAGCAAAGTTATGAAAATCATTATATTTAAACTCAATATTTTGCTTGATGTCTGAATGAATATATTGCATAATAAAGAAATTAGTTATCTTCTCATTTTCAAGAAACGTCCTTATAAGAGTAACTTAATTTTTGTTCCAGAAACAATGGAAAGATATTAAACATTTGTATGAGGAAAAATGAAAAATGTTAATTGCGTTGTACTAGATTTACGTATATATAATATGTTATAGATATGTTATATATCTATCACTGTACAAATAATAATCTACTAGAAACAATAAATTAAATTTCTTTTGAATGTAATTATATATGAACCATTTTTGTGTTTGCACTATTTATTGTTGATTTATTTATTTATGAATAAGAAAATTATGCCTATATAAATGTAATAAGACTTGTTTTTATGGAATAGGGAGATAAAGTATGCATTACATAGTATTAAATGACCACTGATAAAGCTTACATTAACGCGGTTTGATAAAACGACCAGAAAATAAAATCGTGTTTGTAAGTGAATCAACGATAATAAATATAAATGGTCTGTCCATTTTAATGTCGTTGCCCCACGCAGACAGCAACTCGTATCCAACTTCTAGAACATTTTTTACAATTAAAAATTTAAAAGAAATAATATAACTTACAAATTCAACAAAAGCAATACCTGTATCAGCCGCAGCTAGCGTTCCTTCCTCGTCTACTTCTATTTCCACATTTTGCAAGACATCTGTTACGTGTACTAACCCGTTGGATATCAGCGCAGTAAAATTTGCATTAGACCCAAAAATGTTCTCGATACCCATCTGCAATAATTTTAATTTCACCGTTTCTAATGTTAAATGAATTTGTGGGTAAATCTCTGATTATACCTACACGTTTTAGCGTTGGCTCCAAGTTAAAATTGCTTTCAATCTTAAATTTCGGAAGGTGAACAGTAACGTCTCGTCTCTTTAAACTTGCTAGAATCGCTGACACCGGAACTGTGACTAAATCTTCGGATAATATTCGAAGATACGGGTCATTTTCTCTACGTTTCGGCATTAATACCAACATCGATGTTTTACCGTCCTACAAAAACTTCATGCAAAGTTCGTTTCATTTACATTGGTAATTATATTTAAGATAGCGTACCGAATATGGGATTTCCAAAACATGCGCGTCGATTGAATGTACGTAAGCATATCGATAAACTGATTCGTGTTTCATCATATACGTTTTCCGGCATTCCCCGTTAGGTATGTAGAAACATTCTAACTTCGTCTTTGCTTTATCGAACGATTTCAACCAATGTCCTTTGAAATATACGACCGAAGTCAAAAGGATACGCGTATCGGGTTGAACATCGATCAGTGAAGAAAGTGCATTACGCGTTGCGTTGCGAATCCACTTGTTAATAAGAGCCGCTGTGTTTTTTGAATCTTTAAAATTTACGTTCTGTACGTCGCTTTTGTAACGCAATCGCACAGTATCTTCATAAGTATGCAACACGGGCAGATTTTCATGCACCCATAATCTAGCAGAGAAATCAATTTCTGTACCGTTCTCATTTCTCTGGAATTGTTTACAAGATATAACACAAGCTTATATTAATACAGTTTGTATTCTTGTAATGTATTTGGTACTGCACTTTCAAAGATCTTAAAGTGTTTTGTATAAGTTCCGTTCTCCGTGATTCTTCTTCTGGTAATCGTAATACTGAAATTAATTCCGATTTCGAATTGCCATTCGCGCCTTCCATTAACATTGTCAAAGCCATTTTCACACTTGCAGGTGATAGTACTAAATTTTCATTTTGGTATTGTTTGTTCAAAGTCTATATGCAGCACAAAAATAATGGTAGTCATCAGCTTAAATATTAGCGTACATTCGATATTTTTCTGTACCTGTGAGAAATGTGTGTTAAAGAGATTGCTACGATCTTCAATGTTCAATCCGGTTTGCAAGATCGAGTCTAAAAATGATTACGATGTAAATATCTGATTGTTTTGTTTGCGTTTCGTGGAAAGGAAACGCGGAAAACTACTGTCAGTGATTACTATCGTACTGTACGTAGTACTGCGAAATGAAGATTTATTAATGCAATCTGTATACATGTAATAATTATGATATAAAAGAAACATGCAAACATGCGGATAGTTTTGTTAAGTACTTTTAGCACCTACTTATTACATAATTGTTATATGCAATGTTTAGAAGCAATTTAATATTGTCCATTGTTAAGTTAAATTCATATTTAGTTAAGAAGCAATTCTTGTTATAATTATTACGTTTTATTGTTGCAATTATAAACATTAACCTGAATCCGGTATGGTTGAATCAATACTGGACGATGAATGTTCTTTCGTTTCATCGTTAGTACTACTAAGAGTATCAAGAGGATTCATTATTCTGCCTGTATAGATAACCGTTCCCGTGGTTTCTTCTTCGATGTAAAATACAAACGGGCGATCCACATGGAATGTTTCATCCTCGATTTTATTTCCGATATCAATTTCTAGAAATGAGAAACAGTATATGTATGTACAGTCATAATTGCTAGAAAATAGTTTAGATACAGTTATAAAGAAAATACCGGTGGCCACGTAAGCCGTAGTTCCATTCTCATTCATTTCAATCCCTGTTTTTTGTAAAACATCCGAGACTTTCAGCTTTTTCGATTCTCTTCGGAATTTAGATATTCCCGTTAACGTAGCGGTATCGTCAAAAATATCTCGAATCCCAAGCTAATCGAGGAACGTATAAAAAAAGAACAGTAAACTTTAGACACAAAGTGGGATTAGTAAGTGTGTACCTCACGTAGGATAGGTTCCATGTGTGTGGAGGATTCGAACTTAAATTTTGGAATGCGGAGATCAACTGGTACATCTTGCATGAGCCATATATGTCTCGTCAACAAGAACGGGTTAATTTCATTGGTGAGAGTGTCGATTCCATTCAACGTATATGGTAACACTAGATACATAGCAAACTTGTGACCCTGTAACAAATTAAAGTGTGATAGAGGAACGAGGGTTAAAGCGACTAGATTAAAATCATATACAATAAACATACAGCGTATGGAAGTCGAAGAATTTTAGCATCTAATTCGCGAGACTCGGAATAATAAAATCGGCCCACTGTATGCATGAAAGGTACATCCACGGTTTTATTGTCTTTCGTATGGAATTTGCCAATTCGCGTGTTCTCTGGTTTGAAATATTTGCGTTGCCAAGCTCCTTTGAAGTACAATCCATTCAAGATTAACATTAAGGAATTTTTGACGCTGTTCTCTGAAGACGTAAATCAAGATAAGCCGGGGATTCCCATTATACACAATTGGACGTTCGCCTTTTAATATGCATCTACCGTCTTCGATGAGCCGATCGATATTGCCATTCGTCACGTTGCTGATCCATGCGTTCATTGATTGAACAAGTGGTTGCGCGTTCGAAAAATCCGCGCTAATCACATCAGTATCGTAAAAACTTTTCACGATTACTCCGTACTGTTCCCTAAATGTAATATTTGAATCGATATAAATTCGCGAACCGGTATTCAAAGTATAGTCCGGTGAATAAGCCTGTAAAAAATGGTATGTTTGTTTGTATAGATAATCAATCCTTCCTTTTCGTATATGTTTAACATTTCCATGGAGAGTTCACCTGAACAGATCGCAAGATAGAGGAAAATCTATCCCGAGTTGCTGATCGAGTAGCAGGTAATTGCATCGCTACGGCAATCTGGTAAGCGCTTTCATCTACAGCTCCTTCGTATAACAGTAGCAACGCAAACTTCAACGATATCGGCGAAATGAGTAAATTTCCAGAGTACTTCTTACTTGCAGTCTACGATACCACGAATTGTTAAAATAAAATTGCATTCATAAAATTAATACAGAACACTTCTATAGTAATATCTATAAAAGTAATTAGTATGAGATTAAATTATCATGTTTGTTACTTTAAACAATGCCCAATCGAAAATACTGAAACGTTCGCCTTGATAAGGTATAAAATCATCATTATCATTACGCGTAACAAAGCTAAAATCAGCGGTCCCATTCGACAGGGATTGCGTTTTCTGCGATTTGCTTTGCTGTAGTACAAAAATCGCAATCACCAGATAGCCTGTAACGGAAATCAGTATGATTATAATTATAAACTTGAGCATAATCTGTGCTGTAATCTAAAGGCCAATTATGCAGTCTTGAGCCGACGATTAGGAAAATGTCAAGGTCAGGCGTACGGTCATCGTTTGTACGTACAAATTGTGAAAGACATTAAGCCCCTTAGCTTCTCTTGTAATATTTTAATACTTATTTTTGTCAGTAAAAATGAAGACACACAAGCATGAATTACTATGATAAAAAGGACAAAGTTATTAATACTTGCTGTTTCTACAATAAACTAATTTTTCCTAATTTTAAATTTACGCTACTCGACAATCACGGAGCTTAATTATATTTCTAGAACGTGCGAAAAAAGAAACGAATTTCTCTTACCTAATATTCCAATGAAATATGAATTCATTGTAGCTTCATCAGCTGAAGGCACAAAGAAATGACAAAGCTAGCACTTCGTGCTCGATTCACGCGAATGATTTCGAACGATTTAATCACAGAGAATCGATGCGAGACGCTATGCTCATCCAGCGACGCCGCCGAATGGACAAACGGGTTGAGTCTCCGACCGACCGGTTCCACCGGCGGCCGACTCAACCCATTCAGCAAACGCGGTTTCCTTATTTATTGTATTAAGTACACGTATGATGCTGACTCACGTACGTCCAATCCCGCGAACATTGCGACAACTATTATATACACGTTAGTTCAACAGGGATTAATAAGAACAAACATTTCAGTTGCATTTGTTAGTTATATTTAATGAAAATAGCATTTATTTACAATTATGCTTCGTATGTAATAAACCCTGAGGTAATTGTATTCTTAGACAGGCTTGTCGGTTTCCTTTAACTTAATATTTTCGTATTCTTCATTCTGCATCAGTGAATATTTTTCGAGAGCTTGCGAAACTAATAAACTAGCTGCATTCACAGCCTCGGTAGTCATGTAACTTCGAGCTATTTCCGCTATCTGTTCTTTTATCTGCGAAATGAGATTTAAATACAATATAAAAATTGAATTTATCGAAAGAAGTCCTTTCGGAAAACACGGTTCTTTACCTGATCGTTCGTGAGGCTAAAACCGAGGTAGTTGGTACAAATCGTAGTATACATACAGAGCACGGTCATAAAAAGCCCGCCTACAACAACCGGGAAGAGGAAATGCACAAGGTAAACACTGGCTCGTGCTCCATACATCAGAATTTCACCGGAGAATGGAAGCAAGTTCGTCATAACATCGACAGCGGAAAAAGCGTTCGCCGTTTGCGTTTGAAGAGCCTTAGGCACGAGATAATTCTCATATCCAGTCTGCATCACGTATCCATTGCTGTATTCAGGATAAAACGGATAAAAGTATCTACTAGCGATTGCTTGATTCCCTTTAGCCACTATCGCGTGATGCGATTGTTCCTGACTATTGATCGGAGACGTTACGACGCTTCTCTCGTTCGATTGTTGTTCACGATGGATCTGTTCGTTATTGTCCTTCTGTTCTTTAACCGGCACAACCATAGCTCCGCACAAGCCGACTATTAACCAGATAATTAAAACGCGATGCATTATTTGTCGGTATTTTCTTTTTTAATCTTAGAAATATCAGTACTTTTTTTAATTTCACGCAAGTATTCGTGCACCGTTCCAGTGCCTTCCAAGTCTGACGACTAAACGAAATATTCACAGACCTGGGTTTATATGCGTTGAGAGCACAAAAGATCACAGACAGTTCACCATTTGGGAAAAATAACAGCAGGTACATCTTCAACCCTCGTAAGGGCGGGGTAAGGTAGTTTCACCTTTGTAATAGCTCTTCCTTGCATACCTGGGCTTGTGAAAAGTATTATGCTCATTGTTCACATTTTGAACCACCTCTATCTTCAATTCGACACGGGGTTTCGGAAAATCACTTTACATTGAACAGAATTTTCCAAGAAAAGAAGATAACTATTCTTTTTTCTTTTATGAGTAAACAAAAGATTCTATGACATTGAAGAAGTAGGAAGATAAGCGATTGAACGCTAATCGTTTTATAATGTGTGAAATTGTCAAGTTCGCGCTAACTGCGTCCCATCTCTTATTTGATTGCGCATTATTTCGATCTCATCTTCGCTACTGCTGTCTAAATGAATTATGTTTCTTCGATTATTCCCTTCTGTACAATTGTTCGATTCCTTTTCACGACGTTTGCGTTTTCGACTTTTAAGAAGTCGTTCGGCTTTTTCTAATAAACATTCTTCTTGAATCATTTCTACATCTTCAATTTCGTCTCCCGCTACACAAAACGAATCCTGAAAATCGTAATATTTTAAGAAATCCGCATAATTATATAAAATAGTTATGACAAATAAGAAGATTAAAATATTTACATTTACGTAAGTATCGTCGAGTTGACTTAAGGGTTGCGAATATATCTCCACTTTGGAATCGAGTTCACGAGGTTTCTTAAAAATAAAACCATTTGGTTTTTTAACTGGGCTTCTAACGCTTTTTAAATAATGAACATGCATGTCGGTCGTATCGTGCACATTCTGCGTATAACTAACGAAACCTTCAAGATCTTCGTCGGTGCCGGAACTCCCATCTGTCGTAAAGTCGTTCAAAGAAACTTCTGCTTCGTCATTTAGAAATTCTTTCCTCGCTTTGTTCAATTTTCGACGTTTCCGTAATCTTTTATTCTTTTGAATATCTTTCGCTTCGCTTTTCCGACTTTTGTATTCATTTTCAAAGGATGTGTCACTATATATCTCGGTCAGGTCAAAGTGTGACTTATTGAAGTATGGACTTCTATTTTCTTTCACATTGGAAAACCAACCATCGTCCAGTGAATTATTTATCGGAAAATTGCATACCGAATTTTTTCTCTTTCCTATATTGGCTAATTTTTCCGAAATACTTTCTTGAAGAACATTCCCTGATACGTTCGTTGGTTTTTTTACGGAAATCCAGCCGTCATCCGAAGAATTCTTTTCGATACTAGTTTCAGCTGTGCTGACTGATATGTTACTTTTTTGTGCCATCGATGTGCTATTAGAAATAAAACTCTCACTCAAAGAATATCTTTCGACTTTACTTTCAGCTATGTTAACTGATATATTCCTTTTTTGTGTTATCGGTTTTCTGACACAAATCCAACCATCATCCGAAGAATTCTGTTCGACATTATTCCCAGCTTTGCTGATTGATGTGTTATTTGTTTGTCTTATTGGTTCTTTGATAGAAGTCCAAGACTTATCCGAAGAATTCCGTACGATGTTATCTCTACCTTTGTCGACTGATTTGTTACTAGTTTCTGTTCCTTCAGATGTATATTTTATATCATCTTTGACAGGGTTGGCCGGAATTTCAAAGCAGTCGTCCCATTCAAATTCTTCCAATCTCAATTCCATGTCGACCTCGTTTTCATTATCATCCATGTTTTCCTCAACCTTATCTTTATTTAGTGTATCCATTTGATCAATGGAACTTAACTGATCTATCTGACTGCAAACTTGCAACAGAACACTATCGTCTTCAAACATATCGTGGTCAGACTCATTATTTGCTTCTTGAGTCATTGACTCTAAACTTAATTGCGATCTTCCATGATTTGTTTGTGACACATTAGAAGTGTCTAAGTTCTTAGAACAAACAGATACTGATGTACAATTATTCTTGTTCGCTTCTTCGCTTGTTTTTAATTTGCTATCACATAGTTTTATAGTGTCAGAAAAATCTTTTATTTTTGTTTCTTGAAAAACATTAATGTTATTAATATGCGTTTGTTCGACATTTTCAGCCATACTGAATCCAAGTTTCGAATCACAACTAATTTCTGTGTCATCAGATGAGTCGTCTAATATATCCTCAAATTTACTAAATTCACAATTCCCTAATTTATTAAATTCTTTTTCTGATTTGCTGCTTTCACATCGACCGGAAGCAACTGATGAAGCACAAGCGTCATGCTTCTTCTCTACGTTGTCCGATGTATCGCTTTCATCGCTTTCATCGAAGATATCTTCGAACCTCGATTTTGAAGTGACACACCTGTTGACGTCTACGTTCGTTGTTTTTTCGAATACACATTCATTAGAAAAGTCACCCCCTACGTCATCAAACAAGTAATCATCTACATATAAATCTTTCTCGTTTTCGTTTTCACTATCATTATCCAATTCTTTTTTATCGCTTTCAAAAAGAGCAGTATCACTCAATGTGCTTACACATTCAAGGATTTCAGTACCTGGTATTGAAAAATTAAAGAAATTTCTAATGTAAGGAAACTGGGGTATGTAAGATTCGTTAATATTCTCATTCTCCTTATTTCCTTCTCTTTCCGAATTTATCAAAGCACACGTCGTAAGAAACTCAAGGGAATCCTTATCTGAAGTAAGAATTTTTACGTCCGATGATTTTACGACATTACGGATATTATTTTGGAAATTATTAGGAGTACGTATTTCACAATCTTTCATTTTCGTTTGATCGTTCCTCAAATATTTTATCATTGAAAATTGACCTCCATCTTTTCCCGATTCCAAATTAGATTCTAAAAAGTACGATTATTCGATTAAGACTTTAAAGAAGATTCTACATGTTCCATGTACGTATTGATATATTTTTATTACCTGTGTTAACTTTCCTTTTTAGATTATTGTAACGTTTATTATCTTTCTTATCTAATTTTCCTTTCCCGCTTCTGGATTGTACAGTTGGCGTTTTCGGATGAACATTAATATGCATTTTTATGCATTCGGGTGTTAAATGATCGGGGATCATACGAGGATTGTTTTGATAAAGCGAAGAACAAATGTTACTGGTATTTAATATTTTGTCATTCAGGGAATCTCTTCTAGCCATTGTGGATTTTAACGTCTGTAATTGAACATGAGATGTGAAATCTTTTCGAGTTCTCGGATATACTATTTATTACCTCGTATTCTTTACCATCCGTGACAAGAATGATTATGTGCCCATCGCGTTTTCGACCCGTTCTTCCCATTCTTTGCACCAATCGGATCGGAGAATGTTGGGACACGTCGAAACAAATTATTAAATCTACTTCTCCAACATCCAACCCTTCTTCTCCTATAAAGCATCAAAGTAATCTTCATTTTCAAATGATGTATGATACATATGGCAATGATATGATACATATGATATATAGTGATGTATGATGATAATATTTGCACGTAATCAGTGCATTACGTACCTATACTCGTGGATACAAGAACATTTACATGATTGCTTCGAAATTTGTTCAAGGCCTCTACTTGCTGTTTTTGCTTTTGTCCAGCTTGGCCGACAAACATTTGCGGTCTTATTATGGGTTGGCATTGCCGTAGTAAAACATATACTTCGCTCACAATCTGTCGATACTATGTACAAGAAAACAATTATATTCCGTGTACCAGTTTAATATCTTAATCAACCTAAAGATTACGAACCTCGACGAAAACTATAGCTCTTGTATCATTCTTATCATTATTTTTAAAATGGTTCAAAAGGAGTTCTTTCAACTTTGCAAACTTTGTATGCCCGAATACAAGATCTTCTGGTATCTGAAATCCGTTTGCCAATTGTTTAGGAATAAATAATAAATTTTATGAGCTTTAAGAAAATTTATACAGACATCTTTTATGGTTTCTTCGCTTAAAGCTTTCGCGTCCGGAAATGGACCTAAATAATTTTTAATATCATCCAGCAATTCTTGCAATTGTAGTTCGTCGTTCATCCAAAATTTATCATTGTGATCTATTATAATAATATAGAAATTATTAAAAAATTCACTTTGTATGCTAGAAAGCTAGTAAAATCATACCTTGATAGAATTTATAAAATGCTCTTAGTCCGTCTCTGATCAGAAGCTCGTAGGCATGATACATTGAGAGTAACACGGTTATTGTTTTCATAATCATTCCATAATTCCCCGTTTTGTTTGTTTTATTCTGATATTCTCTTGATATGTAAAATATCTGGATATTACGAAAAATCTTTTAGCACTTTCTTCTTTTTTAGATCTACATAAAGTATCTAATAAGATATTTTACCCTTCCTTTTGAGATATTTGCCGTATTTCCGCGAAGAACATTATTTTGTAGTAAAACTTTTACATGCCTATCCATAATTAAGATATATCTTTCTTTATATTGTAACAGTTCTTTGTTAAGAGGTACTAAAATAACGTCAACTTCTCTCTTGTTAATATATGGTACAATATCAATAGATGTTTCATCTCTCAATTCCATGTGAGCTATTAGTAAATTTTGTATCACCTACAAGAAACTTTACTGTTTTAATTCATACTTAAATATAAGTTATGTGCATAAGATACCTCGTGAACATTGCCGATCTTATTTCCTGGTGTAGCAGATAATGCTAACACTCTGAAATATTGATTCTTCTCAGCCAATAATCGAATACACTGAGAATATAAAAATATATGATAATTAAAAATTTCTATTATCTTCTCATTCGTGCAAACGAATGCTTCTAAGAAGGCACATTTACCTCACAATAAGAATGTTTCCCCAAAGCTTTATGAGCTTCATCTATAACTACACATTTCACTAAATCACTAGGTACAACATGTTTTTCTAAATCATTCTGAAAAACTTGAGGCGTTGCAAATATCACTCGTTTTTTCAACCAAACTGCTTCACGTTGCTTCTGATTGACTGCTCCTGTAACGTACAATGTATTTTAAGACTTTGATAATATAATAAATGTGAGTCATATTCCAAAATCTATAGAAATCATTAGTATTAGTAAAAAAGTTATTTTGCTATACCTGTAAGTTGAACAGTCTCTATAGTAGGTATACCCATTACATTGTGACAAGCATCAATTTGTTGAGCAACCAATGGCTTTGTTGGTGCTAGAAATACTACTTTTCCACGAGGATACCATCTCCAAAAGTTATACATTATAACTGCAGCAATAAATGTTTTTCCTAGTCCTAATACATAAAAAATATAAAACATTAAAATACATATACTAACTTTCCATAATTACTTTTCTCTTACTACTGTTTTCTTTTCTTTCTGTTTTAAAATATCATTTTATTTACCAGTGGGTAAACAAACTAAAGTGTTTGTATATAAGCAAGACTTGACAATATTGAACTGATAATCTCTGATAGGATAGTTTTCGGGATAAATCCATGTTTTGCCAGCAGAAATGTCGAATCCTTTTATTTCAGAATCAGTTGATATTTGTGGATTCTGCGATAATAATTCCATTTTTTGTTGATTTAGCTTCTCTTAATTGATCAAAATAATAATTAGACTTCAGTAATAAGATCCGAACTACGACGAACTCCTAACTATATTTCTAACCCTCATCTTACATCCACTAACTCAATACAGTATCCCGTTCACATTGATATTACTGTTGCCAACTAGTAGTGGTATTTTAAACTATTTTTTTTAAATTTTGACATCCTGTCGGCTGTGGCCGCATCCGTGATAATGTGAAGTTAAAAATCATGAACATTCGCTGTGCAAGGGTTCGCAAATGACTTTCAACAAGTTACTTAATTACAAATTAATTTATTATACGTAAAATACATAAAAGAATGCGATCGAATGGACCAGTGAGCATATAGAACGGATGTACACAGATGTTTACGCAGCTATAGACGAATAGTGCTTGATAAAAAGTAACTAAAAGCCGAGATATATATAATAGACTAGATCCCTCGTATTAACATGTATGATTCGATGATAAATGACTATTTAATGCAGCTTTGTGGGCAAATTTTTTTAAACATATCAGGCATTCGTGAGTTTTTTCATTTATGTGCATGGATAGGTGTTTCTTCAACGTAGGCTTATCTTTAAATATTTTCTGACACGCGCTACACTCGTACGGTCGTTCCCCGGCGTGCACCAATATATGACTATTTAATGTCGTTTTCTGAGTAAATGCTTTATGACAAACGTAACATTCGTACGGTCTGTCACCAGTGTGACTTAACATATGCTTCCGTAGCGAAGATTTTTCCTTGAACGTCTTTTGACAAATATGACAAGCATGCCGTTTGTCACCGGTATGTATAAGCATATGGGAATTTAGTCTAGTCTTCTCTCTAAAGGCCATTTCGCAGAGTTCACACGCGAACGGCTTCTCGCCCGTGTGTATCAAGGTGTGCCGATTTAGATCCGATTTGCGTGTGAATATTTTATCGCAAACTTTACAATCGTATTGACCACCGGTGTGCAATAACATGTGACTGTTAAGGTCGGATTTCCGGGCGCACGCCTTATGACATATATGACATTCGTGCGGTTTCTCGCCTGTATGCACCAGCATATGCGAGTTCAACTTCGCCTTTTCTCGAAACGTCATTAGACACTCCTTGCATTCGTACGGTCTTTCGCCAGTGTGAACCATCGTATGCCTTATCAATTCCGATTTCCGTTTATACGTTTTTTCACAAATGTTACAGGCGTGTGGTTTCTCGCCGCTGTGCGCCAGCATGTGATTGTTTAACGCCGTTTTCTGCATGAACGATCTATGACACATTGTACATTTGAACTGTTTATTTCCTCCATGCAACGTCATATGCATGTTCAACTTCGCTTTTTCCCTAAATGCTGCAAAACATACATCGCATTTGTACGGCCTTTCTTCTGTGTGAGTAAGCACATGCCGATTCAGACTAGATTTTTCTTTAAATGTCGCGTGACAGACATCGCACTCGAATATTCTGTGGTCTTCCGTGGTCATTGACTGATCATGTTCAGAATCCGGTCTCTTCATGAATGCTTGTTGTAACGCATCGTCATATGGTTTTTCTAGCACGTGCATCTGCATATGACTACGCAAACACCATTTGTAAGCGAATCGTTTTTGACAAACATTGCACTCCAGTGGACTCATACCAACGTGAGTTAGCATGTGAGCATGTAGACTCGAATTGTCCTGAAAATGTTGTTGACAAACCTCGCACTGATTTCCGCTACAGTGCAGTCTCAAATGAGTGACCATAGAGTCATTGTTCAAGAACCATTTTTTACAAATCGCGCATTGTATCTTATAAAATTTCGGTTGTTGTCCGTTCGGGCAGAACCCGGAGTGTTTCTCGGCATCATGAGCTTGAATGAAGTTTGCGTTCGTTAAGCACCTTTGCATAGCGCCATCGTCTTTGTCGCATAAATTTGCACTCGTGATTTGCGCTGTCCAATTCTGATGGCTACTCGATTCTCCATCCAGTTCAAGTTTTACCTAGAATCGTTTTGTTCGATTGATTTCATCCTTCTACAAACGAGGCTCATACATCGACAATTTCGTATGAAATTTACCATTTCATTAGAGAAGTCAACTTCGTTATTTTCGATAGGTAAAAATACCTTCTCGAAAGTCCCAGAACAGATGTCCTCCATGTAGTCTGGATCAAATCTATCGCCTGGTTCTTCCTTAAGTACAACGCTTACAATGTTTTCGTCCTTAAAGTAAGGGTTTAAGTTAGAGTCCTTGTAGAAGCATTCTATTGTATGGTGCTGCTGTTTCATAGAAAACGTTTACCATAACCTGACTGTCTATGTTTAATACATCCATCGGTTCATCTTTCACTTTAAAATCTTCCATTTGCTATTCTGTGCTCTGAAAACAAAATCAAAATTCTATTATTCAAACGGAACATATCTCGTGTACAAACGTGACGATCATGCCGTCCATACAACACAAACAATTGCAATACAACAATACTGTGCAATACTGTACAGTCATATAACCTTAAAAGTACAATGCAAAACTTAATTATCGTAAAAAATTGACCGCGCGCAATCGATTTATTTGTAAGGTTCTGCAATAATTTCATTATTTCGTTTGTTCTTTCGAGAGAAACGGTTTTAAACAGTGATCCTTCTAAAACTATACTTACAGCAAAGATTATACATTTCACCCACAATGTATAACACACGAATCAAAATCCATTAAATTCAAATTCCTCCTTTTTGTACGTCAGCGTAGTGAATTTTTTTTGTTCTTTCTTGTAATTAGGGGCATGTCCTATTAATCCTTCTGAGGAAATTAAACCTGTCCAATCGATCGATTTACTTATGTATCATGAGACTATACTGTGCGTTCCTCTATACACATGACAGGCATACGTTACGTTACATAAATACCATACATCCAGCGCACGATTATACATATGTACGTGTACGTTCGTACATATATACATGCACATGGACAATATGGACATGGACATAAAGTTACTGAACAGCTCAACCATATCATACCACTATTTAACAAGTTTTACACTTATACGAAACTTGCGAGCTCAATGATTACGGTCGATAACTTATGTGTATATACATTTTTTTCTAGAGGATAGATCTTCTTTGATATATGTTAAATGTATACTTCAGCAGTCGGAAGACAAAACGAAAAAAATGTTAGGACATGTTTATAACAATGAAATAATAAGGAAAAAGGATTTTCTATCATACTAAACGTTTATTTTTGTAATCATTTTACAATTTTTTAATCATTTCCAATTTTCTCTTTATTTAATTCAATTACTCGTCAGTGTTCAATTTAATGTTGGAACTACTATATTTTGTTCTTCTTCAAATAATAATTAGTCTTTTCTAATAATACAGAAATCGCGAATTGACTGAAGGAGTTTTAAAAAATTGAATGATACTTCATTGCATCTTCGTTAGTAGAAAAGACATGTAGCTGAATGATATCTTTAGTATCTGAAATGGTTTTAACTTAAGAAACAAAAATTCACACAGATGAAGAAAAAATGAATAATTCAAGGCGGAAAGGAAACATCTTACGTTACAGAGCGTTGGCATCGTCATAGGCAATATTTTTCCGGCGGTTATATAAATTGGCTTATTTGCTCTTATCATCAAGAAAATCAAACTCTTTGATTTTCTTGGATCGAGACTCGTCCACCCGCATTCATACGCGGCATCAAATATTCCTTCGGCCTATGTGCACGATAAAAAAAAATTAACATACGATACAATGAATGTAAATGAGAATTTTCACTTACTTCGCTCAATAAAAGTTGTCCTGCGATACAATAGAGACACATTTGAACGAACGCATTTATAATAACGGACGCAAAGAAAGCTGCGCGAACCATGGAGATCTGTTTTTCTTCAAGAAATATCTATATTAAACATGCATTAGAATATTAGAACACCTACCCACCATTCCTTAATTGTGAAAATTCATTTACTTACAGTGATAATTAATAATCCATAAATGCATGTGATCAAACCGCAATACAATAACAACAGCAGAAGTAACAAAGTAAATGTACTTTCGATTACATCAATTGCGCTATACCGATATTAATAAACGAACGAGTCAATAATTTCACGTAGGTCATGAACAACGATTCTTTTATGTAAAACCATACGAGAAAAATATTAATTAAAGAATACCTGATAAGTCGTATATGTCGTTCCACGATAGCCGTTAAGACGTAATTAAAAGTTTCTGATTCTTTTATGTTTGCAAGACGAACACGAAGATTTTTCAATTGGCCGCTAATGTGCAGAACTAACAACCCAACCAAATTATCGATCCCGAGGTAACAATTTATTATTAATATTACGCCAAAGGTTTGCGTAACGTAGAGTATCTCGAACAGCGGAGTTTTGTGGACGTCGTAGAAAAAATAGCTTGGCAATGGGAGAACGTCTTTCGGATCGGTCCCATTCTTAACGAATTGAATGGAAATACCGAATCTTGGCAGAAGTATTATGAGCAATATTGTAAACATCCCCATGATAAAACCAGTTACGTTGATTGTTCGACCGACACGCGCTCGTCGTATCATCACATTTCTCTCGATGTCCGGTTTCGACTTTGCCCAATCCTCGGCAATCATGTCCACGAGCGGCGAGAGAACTTCAAAAAAATAAATAATAATACGTACCCCAGTGCACGATATTTCTCCTTATCAGAGACGATGCGGAATTTACCTTCCTTTTTGTTTAACACCACGCTGAATTTCATTATCGTTATTGTTAAAGGCACGGAATAAGCAAAGTTATTCACAATCATCACTACACTATCACATTGTTTAATCAAATCGAATATGCAAGGAATCAGACAAAAGATGAATATTGTCAACGATACCGCTGCGCGAAATTTCGGGGACAATCTCTCTCTCTTGTCTTCTTTAACAGGCCAGACTCCGATTACCTTCAAACTACTCCGGTTTAGGCTGACTACCCATTCATAGTCTACGCATATAATGAAAGAGTAACAAAATTTATTAAGTCTAGAACGACACCGTGAAATTAGACTAAATTATAGTCATTTATAAGATTGTGTCAACGACTCAAACGTGTAGTTCTAGCGTTAAGACTTATGAGAACAGACGGAATGCTATGTGAAAAATATGAAACGAAATACACCTGCCAAAGAATCCAACTTCGTCTTCGACATATTCGTTTCATGCAAACTTTTTCTACATACGAAAGAAAATGTTAACTTTATCTTTCTACTTGCGCACCGTAATAAAAATGTTGGTTGGCAACATTAAATACTCATGGTAAGAACTTTAAGCAAAGTCTATGGTAAGAAAGGGTAGGGCAAAAAACGTACAATGTTTAATACTTTATTTCGTCTCGTCTCTTGGGAATTGTAGCATCGTTGCGATGTTGCGTTTTTTCTTTTGCAACTACGATGAAATGTAGTTAGGACAACAAAGTTTCAGACTAGTTAAGAACAGTCTCCCCTTTCTCTCGTACATTTTTAATAATTCTGATCGATCCTACGAATGAGGTGTAATGCAATTCGGAAGACAACTCGATGTATCGTCGCGAACGCAACATCCCTTCACTCTATGATAACATTCGTTGATCTTAACAATTTGTTCGACGAAACTTTATTAACTCGTCGTATATGTCAGTGATACAAAAGTGAACCAAAATATATGTAAAAGTATATTCAGTCTAAAATTCGAATGCATTTAAGCTTTCCTCCACTAACGACTTCGTGTAGTTTCAAAACTTGTTCGATCAATCTTCGAAAAGGGAGCCAACATTCTTCTATTTCGCGCGAACACCTAATCAATCAACTAGGACGATCACGATCGCGAATCGATGTGTCTTTTCATTTCGAATCAAGATCGATCGCTTTCTCTCGACACAGTTTTCCGTGCGTTATGTTCTTTGTGGTAATCTCATTGCAGTGCAGGTGCTACCTCACGCACATTTACATAAGTAAATTGTCACGAACCAAATGCCAGGTAAGATTCGTGAGCTCTCCGCGTGGAGCGCCGGTGTGTGAACGACCTGTCGAAAGACTAAATGTTGTATTTACCTATTTTGACTACCTGTTTCTTTTATGTTTCGACACTATTTCGATTTTATCTCTTTTTCGAATCGTTCCACCATTAAAGGGAAATAAACATTGGTGAAAGATTTAAGCAACAACTGAGAAAAATCACGTCAAGGGGGTCGCATCACGTACTGGTAGGCGTTGCTGTCATTTGGCTTCTCTGCGTCTTGATTATTTCGTCTAAATTTTATGCGACAATACGGTTTCTAATTCTAGTCCTATCTCGAATCGTGATAAGTAAGTTACGGGTATTATGTTTTTGAAAGTGTGTAAAAATTGTACCTAAGAATGGACCACTTGTTGTGAGCACAGTTGATAGATTCAAACCTACAGTCCTTCGGATTAGGTAATTGTTTCTTATCTGAAGATCATTGTTATAGGAAGGGCGATGTTTGCGAAAAAGAAAAAGAAACCACAAATATCTACCCCAACAAATTTTGAACATCGTGTGCATACAGGGTTTGACAAACGTGAAGGGAAATTCATTGGACTTCCTTTACAATGGGCTTCTATTGTTGGGAATAATCAAATTTTAAAGTCTACAAATAGACCGCTGCCTCTAGTAGATCCGAGTGAAATTACACCTACAGAAATCCTAGATTTAAAAACAATTGTTCGTGGTCATAATGACCCGAAGGCAAGGACATCAAATGCAGAAAAAAATACTGAAAATGGCTTGCCTAAGACTAGTACTGTTGCTAGATCTAATTCACTTCGTTCTTCAAGTCCTCCAAGACTTAGAAGAGATTATAGGTAAAACTATACAAGTAAAGATATAATTATTAAATATACTCATTTATTTAACTTTTAGGCATAATAGTAATTTGCCACCCTCAGTGCCAGAAGGTCAAGAAGTACCGCCTAATGCTAATCAAGTACAGGGATATGTCAGCTATGGAAAGCAACACAATTATCTTGATAAATTGAGACAACAAAATTCCTTTAACGTTACAGGCAACATGAATCCTAGTGTACAGAACATGATCCCAAATTTGCAAAATCTCAATCCAAATATGCAATCTTCTCCTAATTTAACACACGCTGGCTCAAATCCTCCAAATTTGTCTTTAAATTTTCAAAATTTGAGTCCTATTTCGACTCCTCAATGTCCCACCCAAAGTCCAAGCACTCCCCAGCTTACAGAATCTGAATTCCATAGGCTAAATACTCAAATAAATGCTGCTTCCGGCCAATACAATGGGAATGTTCAGGTATGCAAGTTACATTATTAATTTTATCCTTCCATTTTTTATCTTATGCCTCACTTTTAGATTTCAAACGTGGAGTCATCGTCCAGGGACCAGCAATTAAATCAAAATACTCATTTGCATAAACTGCAGCCGAAAATTTCACCTGTGGGTTCTATTGCTTCACAGCGACCACTAAGTCAATTAAGTACGCATAACGTCAATAAATATTCGCAAGCGTACAGTACACCGGAAAATCCGTCCATCTTGCAATCTCATATGAAAAAGCCGATTGAGACGTCTCAATCGATGCATAATCTATCAAAGTCCAGTTTACCGTCCTCTGGAAACAACGCGACCCCGGACCAAAATCAGAATATGAAGAGCGCTCTGTCTTCGGGAAATTTAACGGTCGGTTCAGGCTCGGGTTCAAGTACGTCCAATAAGCAAACAGCGGAACAAAGACTCACCCATGAACAATTCCGAGCGGCTTTACAGATGGTCGTAAGTACAAAAAGTTATAATAATACACGTATGAAAAAAGTGCAGCGTAAAAGTTGTTTAAAAACGCTTAGGTGAGTCGAGGTGATCCAAGAGAAAATTTAGAAAATTTCCTTAAAATCGGCGAAGGAAGTACAGGAACGGTATGTATAGCGACCGAAAAGAATACGAATCGACAAGTGGCTGTAAAGAAAATGGATCTAAGGAAACAACAGAGACGCGAATTACTGTTCAACGAAGTTGTAATTATGAGAGATTATCACCATCCGAACATTGTCGAAATGTACGATAGTTTTTTGGTAGACGATGAACTATGGGTCGTAATGGAATATCTTGAAGGTGGAGCGCTCACAGATATCGTTACGCATTCCCGAATGGATGAAAGTCAGATCGCTACAGTGTGTTCTCAATGTTTGAAGCCACTTGCCTATTTACATTCCCAGGGTGTTATTCACAGAGACATCAAATCCGATTCTATACTATTGACAGCCGACGGTAGAGTCAAGTTGTCCGACTTTGGTTTTTGCGCTCAAGTATCTCAAGAGTTACCACGGCGAAAATCTCTCGTCGGAACGCCGTACTGGATGAGTCCTGAAGTTATATCAAGGTAAGTTGTATTTTTTCTATGTCTTGAACAATTGTTTTATTACTGGAACATCTGTGAAACATTTGCATTTGCGGTGCCAGGTTACCGTATGGTCCCGAGGTAGATATTTGGTCATTAGGAATAATGATCATTGAGATGGTCGATGGAGAGCCACCGTTCTTCAATGAGCCTCCCTTGCAAGCTATGAGACGTATCAGAGATATGCCCCCACCAAAACTGAAGAATTCTCATAAAGTAAGTTTTAGACAACGTAGCGCTTCAAAGATCAGCGATACGAGGCGACGTATATTAATTCCATTTTTGTTATTATCATAAAGGTCAGCCCACGACTTCAAGGTTTTCTAGAGAGAATGCTTGTTCGAGATCCGGCGCAAAGAGCCACGGCGACCGAATTATTGCAACATCCGTTTCTCAGGCAGGCACAGAGTCCAAGTATTCTAATTCCATTAATGAGGGGTTCTAGACATACGAATTGTTGACAAGGCAATGAAAAAGCAAACGAGTTCGGTAATTAATTCATCAACACCGACGCTGATTACGAGAATAATTGTGTCCACGATTGTTTTTCTTTTAGTTTGTTGTTACATTTTAAGATATGTAGAGCTTAGAGACGTTCAAATGGCCTTTGATTGTTAAACGTGTACTTACATTCCATTGTGGCCTTAATATAGAAGCGTTACGTTATAGATCTGTCTATATTATCTGCGGTATAGGCATTAGTATTGTAGAACATATTTTTTATATCGAATTATTTATCGAATCATAGTACACACTCAAGTGCCTTTGCTAAGCAGCGTCGTTTTTTCGTGCGCTTTTCTCTTTTTGTGTTTTATTTCGATACCTACTTTATTACTCATTAACCGTGGAACATTTTGTGTGAGATGATAAACAGAAATCTCCCACTGTTGATCTGGATGCCGGCAAGAGATGCGATTAATCGACCGAATAAAAACTACTTTTGTAAATGTTGTTACTATGCGTGTTATTATGCATGTACTTAAGGTTTTAATCGAATAGTCATATTTAATCGGAAAGTATTAATAAGGTGAAAGCGACAGTGGCCACCTTAAGAAAGAAATCAGTGTTTTAATTGATATTCGTCTTCTGTATTTAAGAAAAAAAGAACGGTAATCATACCTAACTTATTCATTGCGCGTTGATATCTAATTACAAAAAAATTCAATGAATTATAACATCTTTAAACAATAATTGCCTAAATGGATAAGAATGATAAACGGATCAGGCTTATAATGCAATGCTGATTCAAACAATATTTAACTGATAAAACCGACGTATGTTGTTAATCTATCATGAAAAAAGTATTCTAAGTTCACAAGTTCATAAACAAATCGTTCACGTTTGAATATATACATACATATTCCATGTGGACGGAACACGAGATAATAATCTTGAGATGATAAGTCGTAATGCCATTTATCCTGATCGAACGAAAGGTCAAAATACAATATGGATAAAAGCCACCGACCGACCAGACGATTTAAAATCGAGTAAGCGACTAAGATATATATATATTATATATAACAATAGTATATTTACAGGATGTGTAGATATTACCAAATGTTATGGCGTAGATGAAATGTGTATACAAATGGCTCATTGTATTTCGAACTGTGGACTCGCTTCGCACACATTCATGAAGATTGTAACATGTAACACGTTCTCTCTTTCTATCTTTACAGTTTTCTATGCGTCGCTGCGTCGCTGAAGGATGTATGTAGTTACGTATTTTCTATGTATGGATGCGAAGCTGGTCCAGAAACCACTTGAGTCATCTGTACGTACATACGCAAGAACAATCGTTGTAGAATATTAATTTACCTGCCATTTATGACGAAAATCATATGAAACGATTTGTTGTACTTTTATTGTATTCGCCACCAGAAGTAACATTATCAGTGGCTTGTGCTATGTAGTCGAAATCATGTATCACATGCATACGATAAAACGTCGATTATTGATTATTGATGATCTGTCTACCAGAATGGAATTTGAACATTAAGCGATCAAGCAAGAAAATAAATTTGTTCAGATGAATTTCAGTTTTTGTATAATATATTTATAAAAATACAGAAAAATTTATTGCATTTTGTTAACATATATTCTTGTATCGTTTGTAGAAATTTACACGATAGTAAGTGTTAATGGCACTATTATCGCGTGATTCCAAATATACACATGTATATTGGTTCAAATTAAGATGATGCGTTTATGGTCTAAGCCAGGGCTTCTTAAACTATGGGTCGCGACCCCAAATGGGGTCGCGTAGCAAAATTTTGACGACTGTAATGGTAACTCGCAATCATAAATGGGGTCGTGAATGACAAAAGTTTAAGAAGCCCTGGTCTAAGCCCTAAGCTCCAAGCCTTAGATCAGTGATTCTCAACCATTGTGCCGCGGCACTCTAGTGTCCCGCGAGATTCTTGAAGTATGCCGCTACTGTCATGTAATGGCCCCTCCCGAAATGAATAGTATATTGTGCACCAAGGGCCGAAAGTGGGACTTTCCGGGCGAGATTGATGTTTGAGCACGAGTGGCAGTCGAGAGCGCCCGCAGGCGCCCGAGATGAACGCGAGCTGCTCAAATTATCATCCGAGCTGGGCGTGGGCCCTACACGGGCTCTCATTGGTCAGCGTTTTTCGTTAATAATTCAAAAACCATAGCTCACTGTGCATTTTACCAAAGGAAATTGTTGTTCAGAAACACCTCCAGAATCACTTCTTTTCGGCTCTAACACTTTCAGGGACATCCTGTATGTATAAAATTAGACCCTTACATAAAGAGGTTCTGGCTATGGGCCTGGCCACTGCGGATACTCATGTATTAGCAACGTCAGACAAGTAGTTCTCAAGACTGGCTCAACGTTACTGAAAATTATTATCCTACGCTAATTTTACAAAATATATTACAGGTACATCAATCAAGAAACCAAATAAAATTCTTTTAATCTTATTGTTAATGTGTCGTCAAATTTTTAAATTACTTCTAATGATTTTAATAATTAGAAGTATACCATGACGAAAAAAAGGTTGAGAATCACTGCCTTAGACTTAACAAGCAAGTAGATAAGCAAATTGAGAACACCAACCACTTAATCAAATAAGTTAAAGAAAAATCCATATAATTTTATTGATGAATTAGAAATATTGAATCTGAAAACATATAAATGTACTATAATTTTATTACACTGTCAAAAGATTAACTGTGACAGAATTTAGGCAAATTCCTTGAACTCTGTTGATACGGCACATTCCTTGAATTTTGTTGACACGGAGAAATGAAAAGTACTCGTTTGTTTGGTCTAAAGTCTAAACGCGTCTTTAGAAAGTAGTTTTGAAACATTACCAGTTGATTGGTGGAACGTGACGAGCCTCTTTTTGACCGAAATGACCTTCGCGTTCTGCTCGATTACTAGCACTATCTATGTTTCACGATTACCCAATCGATGTTTTTTCATTAAATCGCATCGTAGTCAGAATTCACGTTGCACAATTCACGTGGCACGTTTCAACCGTTGGAAAATTCCTCGGACAAATTTAGAAAATTACCTGAATGCTTATAACGCAGATACGCGATTGCGATAAACCCACCTGAAACGGCACTTCTTTCAATACATCGCTTTTTTCCGAAAGAGAATTCGAAAATGATGCAAAAAGTAATGTTCGAATCGCGTTTAACGGGCGAACGTGCTCGAGCATCGCTACATGGCTGCATAACCGCATACCTGCGTGTCATGTTCTCTTACTCTTTCTAAGCCACTGTCATGTTTCGAGAAATGTTACAAAGGTAAATTTTTTTAGGAGACTTCTGAAAGTCCTGCGAGGAAATGGCAAACGAGCATTGGTAATACGCAGGAGTTCGACACGAGGAACAGTACTTCAATTTCACATAACTTTTCGGTACCGGAAGGGTCTAATTATGTATATTTACGTAACGTACAATAAATGAGCAACGCTTCGCAAGTTCGGTAACCGCTTGCGCGAAATAAATGGTGCACGTTGTAAAATAATTAATTATAGCATATGTGGATTTGCAGATCTCACTGTGACTATCATTGCATCAGAACCAATGAAAAGACAAGCTGTTGGAGGCTCGTCTCGAGCTGACCTCGAGTCGAGGGTCCGCCTTTCAGAATGACGAACGAAATTCTCTGTCATTGCGTCATTTCGCTTCGATACTTAACTGTTCTTCATTCCCCTAATTCTTTTTTACTTCCTACAGGTATGTATATAAAGACATTTTATAAAATAATCTAATAAATATATTAATTGTAAGGCGGCTTTATTTTCTTAATCTGATCGCATTGATACACATACTTTATACACTTTAAACGTAAGAGATGAGTACGCCAAATCAATACACTTCTACCAATGACGAACAGTTTTACAAAGATTAAGATATCAAATGCTTATGAAATGAATGACTGCTAAACGTTCTTCCAACTAAAATATTCTATTTTTGTCTTTAACATAAATGTCTCTCAAGCATAAGTAAGATAATTTTTTACGCTAAACGGCTAAACGTTTACAATATTGATTTGTAGGTCTGTAATTCCATTGACGAATATACCTTTTCCTATGAAATGTCCCACTGTACAAATTTATATCTGTAGGCTCAAAGTTCTACGAATGTGGATCAGCACAATTTCGACTAGATAACAACTAATTCTGACGGTACTAAAAATCTAGGTTGTTGCGTCATTGTGACTTTCGTGAACGCGGCGTCAGTTCTATGTATAGAGAAGAGGACGCAGCGAAAGGGGAAAGAAAAGCATACAGTGGGTAGATTCCGTGCGTGTAACCACGAGTTATCTTTGCGTCAGTTCAGAAACAAAGATAGATAAAGAAGTGGGGGCAGACAAGACTCGGAGGATAGTCAAGGAGAAGGACCGAAGATTTTACAGCATAGGATTTAAAAAAGGAAGGAAAAGAAGGGTATCACAAGAAGCGGCAGCGACTGCGAGGTCATAAATATAAACGCTTTTATGCCCTTCTACTATTCGATTGGTCGAGCCTCCGGACGAGCCTCCCGTGGTAATGACGACACGTGATTCCGAGTAACTATCGAACGGCGCCCTGACCGAGGCTGCAGGACAAGGAGGAAGGGGAATAAAAAGGAAGAATCAACAGAAACCAGACGGGGATAGTAGAAGAGAACAGGTTAAGAGCAAAGAAGAGAAGAGCGACCTTCGAAAGTTGGATCGCGATTATATGTGCAGCTCGTATCGCACCTTACCAAACTGCAAAATGTTAAATGTAATGATTTGTAAAGTTTTAATTGAACACAAGAAGAAAGATTTCTCTTCCAGATGAACTTAATAAACTATTAAAAGAATTCTACAAAAGTATTTGAAATGAACGTGCTTTTATTGGAAATTGTACGAAAAACGTGGCTTATCAATCAAATATATTTTATTGTTAGTCACGCGTATCATGGACTTCGTCGCGCGGAACATTGAACTTCTCCAATATCTTGATCATATATCTTATGACGTAGCAAAACGTCTGAAGATTAAATAATTTTGATAGTCATCAAGAATCGTGAGTAGACGGGGAGTATGTCTGATGAAGAGAGAAAGTTGAGCGATAGAATAGGTAGAGAGATAGACGGAAGAAGGGATGAGTAATGATCAAAAAATTTCTTGACTTCTTCGGTTATTTTCCCATCCGTTGAATGGACCATTCTTGCTGGCATAGCGGGCACCGATTGTTCTGTTGGACCCAAAGAGACATGCAACAATAATGAAACGAATGATTGCACTCCCCCCAGACGACAACGCAGTCCTCTTTGCTCTCTGCTTGGCACCGAAGACACGCGTCTGAAAATTGAAAAATAAAAGGAAATTAAACAAACGTCAATGCTACATTGTAAAGTTGCAAGTGTTAACGGGCGTTAATAATATAAGTTTCTTCTCGCTCGTCCGCGATTTCTCATTGCTTATTTTCGGTTACTATCGGTTATCAATCCACCTGCACGATGAATCCTCGATCGCACACACACATGCGCGATATTTAATTTACGATTGTAACACGAGTCATTCTACAAAATTTTTACGCTTACTCATCATAGTGGGAATATTCTGCAATCACATTCGATGAACGCTGTATGATTATTTGAAAAGTATTTTCTAGAATTGGTGGGCTCGGCTAACATGATAAAATTATAAATATTACGTTAGATTCATAGAGATAATCAGGCATATCTATAGAAAGATATGGATATATAAATATGGATAAAGATATTATGGAGATAATATAGATACAATATGTTAGTCTGATGTTTAGATTAGATTATAAAAATTAGAACAATAATGTTGAAAAACATTATGTAATATTTCAAGTGGGAATTCTACCAATCGACGGACAGTGATTTATATCGTCTGGATTGTACGTATCACCTATTTCAGACTGGGATGTATACATCCTCAAGTTTCCATTCTCTTATCTAATAAACTCGTAACTTGAGCGTCTTTTTGAAGGATTTTTCTAGAGCCTACATTTAAGTCGTTAAGAATCCTAGGCAAAGGAGTTTGGCTGTCGACTCTTTAAAATGGTAAGTGAATCGAATCGAATTAAAGCAAGTGAACGAGACTGATGACACGTTCGTGAACCATGTTTCGCGGTCGAAACACTTAATCCGTGATAAATCACACGACTGTTTTCAGAGAATGGCGGTTGGTTGATTAATTATTAGTGACGCTTGTCAAGAGATGTTTCTTGTTGACCCGCACTAGGGGATCCGGGCAAACGTGTCAGCCGTGCCCCCGAGTCTTAAGCGAACAGGGCATCGGGCCAATTGATTCTCATGAATGAGGCGGCAATATGACGCGAAATGCGCACTCAACACCAACGACTCTTCTGGAGTGTTCCTTCCTATCTCTTTTTCCTTCTCTTCTACTCGCGATGGTCACGTAGTCACAACGCGACCTAACTGAACGTATTTTCAGGTGTCTGCCGAAAGTTTCGATTCGTTTGAAGCAACGTGTCGATACCTTGGCTAACCTAGATATGTATCTTTCGTAATAATTCGTAAACGATGAAAATATCCCTGGTAGCATGATTTACCGAATGGCCAGAATTAGAAATAGATCTACGATTGAGTACGTAATCGTGGCTAATTCCAGGCCTAGGAGAATAACTTATTGGCCGAAACGATAACATTCTGCTTTTCAGTTATATCAGCGTGCGTTAACGGTGATGAGATTGCAATAGTTATTGAGCCCACGCCTTTAGTCTTGGCTGCATCAATCATTTCGAATCTCTAACGAGTTTCTCGAACGTTCGAAGAACGTGCCCTATCGATATGCATCTCTGGGAGATCCTCGCGCCAATCAATAGAGTATCAATCGGCTAGCGCGCGTCGTTTGTTTGGCCAATTCGTATCGTTGACCAATTTCGATCAGTGCATTGATGTGAATTCGAAAATTAAGTTAATGACGGCCGACGATAGGGTTCAAAAAGCATCGATCTCTGAGTATCGTCATCCGAACAATGAACATTACAATCGAGAAATGTAACAGCGTTCGTACGTTACAATTGTCACGTGCTTCGTGCACTTAGTTAGGTACTTGGCAGACGATGTGCCGACAGTGGAGTGGTTGAGGAATAAGCGGCGTACGCACGACAATTTTCTCTCTATGTTTCGCGTACGTTATTAAATTCGTAGCAGGGAACGTGCCTCACTACTCGCACAATGATTGCAGATCTGAACATGAAATGGGATTAAAGTGAATAGACACTACGAAAATTTTTAGTCCTTACATTTCCAGAACTTCATAGGGCGATGAATTAAAAAATAGTCACTTTTTACAGTAATGAATAGCTTTTAAAATGTGTTCTTGTGAACACTTAAATAATCCATTTGCTACGAAAATTCTTAAAGAATTTTTTCCATATTTCAAAAGAATTTTCATCAAAACGGTCCATTATTTTTTGCTTTCCAAACAATTTCTAAAATGATTTTATCCAAATATTTGCTTGATCCAGACTATAATACCGCATTTTATTGTTAAAATATTTTATGCCTGTCATACTGAGCAATTTAAGCGAATCCTGAGTATAAAAAGACGAGCCAAATTATGCACTACACGCCTTTAAATTTCCTCCTATCCGTATTTACAAAAGGAGTAGTAGTTCAGAAACACCTTTCGCTTTGTGAAGTGTTTTAGGAATTGATTGTCATTGACCGATTAATGGACCGGCATTAGTTAATCGGCGTTTCCTTTCTGCTTCATTCAATCGTCTAGACAAGGAACATCTATGTCTACGCGGAAATAAACCGAGTACCTGGAATTACGATAAACGATTGGTGTCCAGTTCTCATTTGGAAAAAACGAGCAAACGGTAACCAAGGACGCATTAATTTGCATTTCTTTCAGTTCCTTCCAATTCTGTCGTTTCATTGTGTTACCGTTTCATTCCTAGATTTTTATCGATCATCGAAGCTACCAGGTATTTTTCCTTCGATACTACACTAACGCTTCGCTTTATCGATTAACCTTTATCGATCAACGAGTTGACCATATTTCGTGATGTAACAACATACGACAATTACCGAGGAATTGCTCGCCATCGGAGAAACGAAGAGAAGAGCAAGGAATCGATCTTCAAAGATCATCAAGAGATCGACCTCCGTTTTGTTCTGGAAAGACGGCATAGAAATCCGGGCTCAGCGCATGGGATATGTAATTAAATGGAAATACGATATTCATTTTCCCAACGGTCTGTCTAATTACAATTATGGTACCGGAATATCCGTGAATATCCGGTTTTCGATATTTTAACGATGTTTCATGGTGAATCACGCTAAATCATAATCGATCGCTCGTTCATAGATGGACGTTACATTATTCAGTTGCGTATTTACCAATATTCACCTACGCATATATTAGATTATGTTATTATGCGATACGTCTAATACATATGCATGCGCGCTTATGAAGAAACAACATTGCTAAAGATGCGTCGCAAAACCGTCATGTTTAATGTTTTGACGAGTCGGAAAATTTATGTTCAGAATGAGTGTCACCTGAAGATGTGCGTTTCGCATGCCGATATGAAGCTGAAGATCGTTAAACAACGACTAAATGTAAACAGTCGTTGCATAAGTTTGAATGATCTTATTATGGATTCGTTAAAAAAAAAAAAAAACATTTAGGTAGAGAAACTCTGGAATGGAATCGTTCGAAACCCAACGTGAGCCAGCCACGATGCATTTCACGATGCCTGGCTCCGTTCTTTCGACACTCGAGATGCCGCCTTCGCTCTTGTTAAACTAAACAACCGATTTATGTATATATGTATATAATGATATTCATTTATTCGCAATGTTTATTGGAAAAATTTTCAATAATAAGAACGGAAGAGAAAAAATTGATAAAGAGGTAGAAACATGCGTGACGCAAGTCAAACCGGTTATGTGCTATATAATTTTTTCTATAGATTTACATTAATTTCTGTACAAGTTGTATAGAATATGAGCAGAAAAACGTTTTTGCGATGCATCAAAGCCATGTTATTGAGAGCGGCAAAACAGCTTCATGTATGGTTCACAATTTCTTGATTGGCTGCAACGATTTAGCACGAAAAAATAATACTGTTTCTAACAACGTGATTGTTCTAACTGAGAACGGAAGTGACCGGAAATTATGGTTCTATCGAAGACGATACGAATAAAGGAGATAGGATTTACGTGCACATACATATGCGCCAGACAGATAGGATCCAGGATGACTGTATATGTACGATAGCAACTGAACGAGGTCGAACGACTGGAACCTTCCGTGAAAAGCCCAGAGGATATTGGCATCGCCACGCTGGAGAAAGATACTGTTTTGATTTCAATGTCATTTAACCCTCACCGTAAAAGATGATTTCTTAACAAAAACAAATTGTCAACTACATTCGATCGCAATCAAAATAAGTTACGATAGATCGATATTTGTTAGAGCAGGATGATTTAGAGACCAAGGAGGGATACGTGACATGTTTGCAGAAAAGAAATATTTGAAACATAGCGAACCTTCAAGTTCCGCGTGTCAAACTGCAACTGGTGGAAAGAAACAGTGATCCAGTTGCCTCGCGTTTTCAATCTATGTACATAAAATTCGTGAGAGAAGCCGGCAAACGACGCGCGTGGCGACCAGACCACATCGGGTAGACGTGTTCTAGAGACAAGACGAGGACAAGCGAGGTGAGACGAAGACAGCGATCTACAGCACGATATGTGGAGGGTGTAGCGAGTAGGAGGGGATCCCCACCGACCAGCGACGCACGCCCCAAGCACAGGAGGTCAGGAGTCTATATAAAAGAGACAAACCCCCGATCTGATTAGCAAAGTTTCAAACAACACACGTAAAAGTGCATTTTAGTCATATTTTACACGTCATAAGCTTGAGGCCAATTGAGCATAGAAAAAAAGAGCAAGAACCGTTCTACGAAGATAATTATTACATAAAGTTCAACCGACGCTTTCACGCGTAATTCGATAAAAAGAAGATTGCGTGTTGGTACTCAGAAACCGACGTTAGCTAGCGATAAAAGAATCCAACGTTTGTGGTAAACTAGACCTTGGCAAAGAATAATTGAGCTAGGTCAAGAAGTTTTCCACATCGACGATTTGAGATTCCAAGAGGTTCGATTATTACCGACGCGCGCCGCAGTTGCGGCAAATGCAGCAAGAATACTGTGCGCGGGAAATCACACACACGTAGGAAAACAGATAGGCGGTACTGTGGACATAGTAGGAAGGGTGGCAGTGGTAGTGGATTCGAGCTCGCACCTAGCTGAGAAGTATACTGTATCGGCTACGCGGCATTTGGACTTCAGCTGTTCCCTTGCGCAGTCTGGCAAGGGTAGTTGTTTAGTACATTGAAGAAGGAAACCTGGCCGAGAGCCAATCCTGGTTATCATAAAAACCTATATTTTCCACTCGCATCAAGGTCGCACTGAAAATAAGCTTAGCGGCGCTTTGCTTATCTGTCAACGGTAAACGATTTGGTGACGAAAAAAGACGAGGTAGGAGTGATCAGACGCAAAAAAACCTTACCAGAGGAAACATCGTTTTGCGACGGAGAGAATCCTCAAATATCAAGTCAACGAAAAAAAGTAGAGAAAGACAGAAGAAAGTCGATAGGACGTTCTGAGAATTTGGCTGCAGGTAACAAGTGAGGTTCTATCAACCACCCGGCGAATCGGCACACTGAGCAACACCGGTGACAGAACACGAACAGTTTCGGAGGTGACTGCCAAAATGTCCAATTCCCGGAGACAGATGATGCTACCGTGGCCTCTGTGCGTAGGGCAAGAACGCAGGTTCTTCCCAAAAACGAAGGTAAGAGACAATGTTCGAATCTTTCACGTAAACGTGCTGATTCCGACCGCTCGCAATCGACGAACCGACCGTTCTCCACCGGCTGATTTTCGCCTATCCTAGAAACCGTTCGTGTCTCCTCGATCTCTCTCGGCGCGTTCTTTCTCTTTTCCTCCCGTGTCAGTTTCCCCGATTCGGCATTCGGCACTCTCACCAGCTCGCTTTTTCTCCCTCTCTCAGGCTTCTGGAAATTTCCACTACGTGCCTTCGCCGGCGTCGACGATGACGCCGGCAACCGGGGTCACTATCGACAAATGAGACCGGCGTTTGTTACCTTTGTCATTAGCGCATTTTTATTTACATATGTATTATTATATACGTATTCACTCATTTCACACACGGTGTTCCGCATTTTATCATCCCACCTCACTACCTTTATCTTTTCTTTTTTTACTGCGACTTGCTATTTTTGCATGTTGTCACATCATCACTATGTCATTATTTTCTTCAATGAAAATAAACATTAATTATTTTCTTCAATGAACATAAAACACGATTAATACATCGTCTTTGTTCTTTATTGAGTACTTATACTGTTCTCTACGTTCTGCCATCCCTTCGCTTTTCTTCCTTGGTTTCTTCCCTGTTTAATTTTACTGTTTATTGTCAGACACGTACAGGGCGTACCATTCTTTCGATGATCGTATACATGTGCCAAATCTTTCATCTCACTTCCTCTATGTTCTGGTCTTATTTCATTCTTTTCTCCGGGCATTTAATCGTGCATGCCTTTATCGATTTTTTATTTATCTATATACATTGCATCCTTTCGTTTATACAGGATTTTTTTATGCTATATTTAAAAAGGACGGTCGTGTGCATCGATGTTAGCGGAGGTTTTGCCAGGTGTATCATATGTCCGAAAGTCGTGCCCGAGTTGAAAACGACTCGACATTCGTAAAACGGCTTCACATTCCTTTGTTTCTTGTGTAATCTTTATGTCGTTTCATATTTATTTTATCAGCATTTCTTCTAGTCCTAACAGAGTTTGATCATTTCTTTTCATGCGGAAAATTTCGATCGTCGGGATAAAACCGCGTGCATATGTTATATAACGCGGTATGTAAAAACGATACAGTTTATCTGGAATGAAAACGATTGAATTTGGTTAAACGAAACGCGATATTTGTCCGGAGTCCGGGTTTAGGTTCTGTTCGTCAGTGTTACTCTTTTTCTTTTTATTGTACGGCTGTTTGATACATCTCGACCGTTGACGGAGTCATATCCTACGTGTGTTCACACATGGCACACATTCGCGTAAGTTTCGCACACTCCTGCTCCTGTCGAACAATCGAGATTGCGGCGACGGCGAGATGGAAACTTTTACTTTATGCTGTCTTGGCTACCGCTTCATTTCAATACTTTTTTTTACATCCGTATACAAACTCGTGCGATCATGGAAGAAATATTTATAATTTCGAAGTTTGGATTGTCTTTTAGGACTTGTTCGTCTACCAGAATCATCCAGATCGGTGTCTACCGAATTTAAAAAGAACGAGAGATTTGTAACATTGAAAAAAAAAATTTTCAATAAATGGTTTTTTACTCGCCATCATTAGTTTCCTAAGTGTTTTCGGACCCATTTCTTCCATACCATATTCACATTGGATAATACATACATAGCATAGCTACACTCATCTCTTCGGACTCACGATGCGTTTCGCATAGTACTTAGTCTTTTTTTATCATTAACGGATTTTTTTACGAACATCGGTCTACTTAATATAATGTTACGCATCAACGACGAATGCTAAGCGCAAGGCGAACGAATACTTTTTGGAAATACGTCTGTATAAATATAACGTATAGACGTAATCACGCGGGCACTCATCAATATTTCGAGATAGAAAGTCACACGTGCAATTCGTTATCCGCGAAATTAATCATTTCACTATCGCATAATCGACACCACGTTTTCATTAAGAACACCAAAATTCTTACATCAAGCACGTGTCTCACGTAAGCCGTTTTCTTTGATTTTACGAAATTCGCCATTTATTCATTCTCGGATAACACACGACCTTTAGTTAACGGAAACGGAACAAGTACACGGGAGAAGATGAGATTAAATATTCGAACCAAAAACGGTATAAATGGCCCTAGATTTTGAAACATGAAGCAGATGTAATGTACGTAATTGCGTCGCGTTCGATCTTTGATCATGCACTGTCGAGAGTCGGCTTAAAACAAGAAGATGAATGGAATTACAAACGTGTTGATAACATTAAGCAAAAAAGGAGTCATACATAGAAGTAGTATATGTATATGCAGAGACAGGCTTGATACCCAGGATTACCTATTGCTAGTGTATAGGTATTTCCCCCGCTATCTAACGCTTTCCGTAGCGTAAATATATTTCGACCAGCAAGATGTGGGCATTGCAGTCGACTTATTCTACGTTAATTGTCACGGACGCAGCGCTAAAATGCTTCCTCAGCAACGAGTATCTACGCCGCTGGTACGTCACACTATTGCTCTAAATCTACCCACCACATCATTTTCGAAAGGAAAGGAAGAACAAAACACATAGAGAAAGAGAGAACGCGTGCCTAATAGCTTCTCCTTCCCTGGTCTCCCTATGAAGGCTTACCGAAAGCGATAGCATACAACAATTCGGAATCGCGTCGAGAATGTCTAAAATTTATCTGATCGTAAATGAACCATAAATGCCGTGAAATAGATCCATGGGAGCGAGACATTGGAATCGTTTTGACGAAAGTGCAGTGTACATACGCTAAGTCGTGGGCAATTTCTGATGGGATTTCCTTTACGCGACGTACATTATATGTATATCAGCCCTCTCTCTCTCTTATTCTTTCTCACTATCTTTCACTTTCTCTCTCTTCTTTTTAATGTTACACACTCACGCACAAACGAACAATCCTTGGTATTCGATGCCCTTAACCATTGCTTTCTTGTTTTCCGCTCACCTTCTTCCTATTGTTGCAAAAGAAACACGCGATCTGCTGCCATTCTTCGCTGCTTCGTCAGATTCTAGTTATTTCGGGAGAGATTTGACCGTTTCGGCATTTAGATTTGTCGTTTGACACTCGAATTACCGATAAGAAGATTCTATTTGCACCGAAAATAAATTAAAACAATAGACTACATAATCTAATCTAAAACACCAGTTCTTATCGATATCTAAAAAAATATATCAAATTTGTTAATCCTAGTGTACAAATGTTTGTTAGTTTCACGATAAGATTGCTTTTCCAAAAATCGCTGAACGTTATTTGTATTGATCTCTTCCAACGTTTTAGACGCTTTGGCTAAAGTCAACTGTCGATAGCTATCAATTCGCGGTACGAGACCACTCTGCTTCGAAGATCCAATTGCGTTTTGGACTTTCGAACCCGGAGGCGAGAGTATCGTTTACGAACTAACAGAGATGCCGGCGACATTTACATGTAAATGTATGTACAATAGTTCCGTCGCTAAGCTGCGCGCTGATTAAATGCAGCTGTAGTGCATACTTTGCTTCTGCAAACGCGTGCACATACATTCAGATTCCCAGCAGTATTCGCGTGATATTTGCGCGTATCATTAAAAGCGTTATCTACGCAAACATCACACGACAGAATTCACGGTCAGGCCAAGATCGGTCGGATTACTGGGCCAACACGTGCATTCGCAGCGCATCAATGATTGTAATAAATATTTGGGAAGAAAAGTATTCTAAATTCAAATTTTGACATGAATACCACTCTCCGATGAATTTTTATTACTCGCTAGCTTCGCAGACAATTTTGAATAAATTAGAGTTTATTAGGTTCGTGAAATTGCTGTTTTTTTTCTTGTTATTGCAAATGAAAAATATTCTGTCGACATTCGACGCAATATACGAAATGTGCATATATGTAAAACAGGCGTGACGAATCAGATGTCATGCTTAATTTGTACGGTGCGATTATACGGCGCAACAATGACATTAGAAATACTGCGAGCTCAAACGAAGTAGAAGTGATACGAATTTTCCACCTTTCCGATCTTTCTTATCGATCTGTGTGGATCTGTGATTCCGGTAAACATGAATGACGCAACGCTTGAAAGATAAACGCGAATCTTTGATTTGTATTAAAACATTTTTTACGTTCTTGCGGAACGTTCCCGATTTCTGTGGAACTGTAACTATTTTAGTATCATTTCTCTTCACCTTTATTTGTTACTTTTGTATGTTCTCATTCTCGAGAGGAATCGCGCAAACACTTTGCATATATCGTTAACTTTGATTTTTTCTTATTTCGATCGATTCATTAGAACGAGCAACGAGCGTTGTTTATTGTATTTAATAAGAGAAAAGCAATCGCTGACTTCCTTGAGCGACAGACAGCGAGAAACGAAAATAGTACTTAACGTCGAACGATCCAGACTACGCGAACGGAACGTTAAAAATATTTGGTAACTGCGTGAGGAACGCATGTTCTGGAAATGGAATAGTAAATCTAATTTCGAATGTAATTCTACTACAAAAGCTCGCAATATAATTTTGAACTAAGAACGGTTAAAGTTTTGAAGATCGTATCTTTTTACTCCTAACAAAATTAGGGTTTTTTATCATATCTAGTTTTTCGATCCTCAAAAGTGTCCTAAGTATCGTTATTATTTTTTATCGCAAACTATTAATGAACGTTTCTTTAAAGTCATTCGTTGCGATATTTGACTATTTTGTATCTTCTGCGAAGCCATATGTTCCCGACTTATATTATACTAAATATCGACTGTTTCGATAATGAATTCATGCGAGGAAGATAACGTTGAAGGACAAATTACTGTCATCGAAATTATTCGTTTGTTGGAGAATGAATTGGCATTAACCCTCTGACTGAAATGAATTATGTATCACAGTGCAGATCGTAAAAACGTTTTTGGTACACGTATCCTTCGTACATGCCCTTCTTGTTTAATCCTTCTATACCAACAATACCGATTATCGGGACAAAACCTCGGTGAATTCAAATAATTATTTACATTCAACTGCGCTGTCTTACATTTTCAAATATCGAACTTAAATCGGAGGGTTAAGGTCGCACTCAAACGAGAAGTTTGTCTTCTCTCTCAGCCAATTGTAAGGACAATGAAAATAGGTATACAAATGCTCGGCAAAAATCAATTCCGGTCTTAATTGTGCCGCGACGAATCCAGATGTCGAACGCTACTCGAAGGATAAAAACGAACCGCACGTGTGTGCGCCTGCGGCATTTCCATGTAGGAAACGTAGTTTTTCCCTGTCGACATCTACCTGATTAATGCCACATGTTCACACCAGATAGCGCCACGTGAACTCTGGAAACCCGCAGTTTGGGAAGCAGCCAATCGAAAGGTCTCCGTCGACAGAAGAAACGGCGGGGTCTTTTCGAATGTCGAACCCTGGCTTCGAATGCACCCGTCGTCCGTCTTCCTGTCACGAAACAAATCAGGATTGTTCACGAAGAGAGTCACGAATGTAGCACGCACTCGGTGTTATCTCAACATCAACAACAACTGAGGGTGACTCGTGACGAATTGTGGCCGAGATGTATCCATATCGAGGACGACCGACTATCGGGTCCAAAGGAGAACAGATAGCCGCAGCCGCAGCGAGAGTAAACAAGGAGACTTTTGACCACAAGATGCAAACAACGTCGGCGATGATGAACCAGTACGAAACAACTGATCGGTACCGGAACTGCCTGCAAAACGAGGCTCGCGACGTCGGATAGGCGTAGCAAAAGCGTTACGTTCGAAATATAAAGAGAGTGACACGAGCTTTCGACGAACGGGAATCGTCTTCAACATAAAAAGGTACTCGCTGCACGAAATGGAAGGAAGAATAAACAGTGGCGAGCGCGACGGTACGAAACGCTGGATGATGAATGAATAGAACTGCCGATGCGATGTTTTAGGGAATGTTTAAACGGATGATTTTAGGAAAAGTTTCGAGAGCGATAGGGGTGGGAGAATAGGAAATAACAACGGTGCGGAAAACAGAGATTGTTTTGCATAGGAAACAATCGCGATTATTGGAATGGAAAGACACCACGATTATTTGCAAATCTACTTAGGCCGGCAAACATGATTAATAACAGCGTCACGGATTTGATTTTATAAACGGGAATCGATAGGGGCTCATTAACGTCTTAGTTAGTGGATGCGCGTGGCGTGCGTGATCAGGTCATGGCTCTCGTGCGTGATACTTCGTAAAATTCGGTGAATTGGTAAATCGGTCGGGGACATAGTATATCTATAATGATCGAGAAACTGGGAAGACGCGCCGGAGCCACGAGCACAACATTCGCAAACGAATCCACGGTTTGATCATCGAGTTCATCGAAGGTTATCGATGAACCAGGGGTAAAAGTCATCTAATAGACGAACAAGAATCACACTGGCTTCTCGTCCGTCGCTTTTCGTCATTGGCTCATTTTACGATAATCGCCACCGTCCATCCTCCTCTTTCTTTAACTCGGCGTTGTCTTTCTTTTACACCATTTACGATAAACGAATCTAGTATAAATACTCCAACTGTGAAGTTTCATCCCCCTAATTTCGTCGTCCGTTCTATAGACGAACGCTGGATTCGCGTTGCTCCGGTCTTTAAGTAAAGTGTGTTCCGTTAGTTGTAAACGTCTACGAAAATCCGCGTTCCCGAACGAGGAAAGAGGAACGATCGAGTGGCACATTAGTAAGTTTAAGCTACCGTCCGATCAGCGAAATGAATTCCCAGGGAATTTAATTTCTTCGTGCGTGTCAATGATTCGTACTACGTGAACGTAATATCCGCGTTGAAACTTTGCACGGTAATCTGTCGGTCACTTTGATCTAAAGTTAAATCAGAAGTTTTATCTACATTTGATCTTGTTCGAAGAGTGACAAATTGTATTCTTAAATTGTGGAATACGCTTAATTGTATAAATTCCGTGCGAGGTTTAAACGAAAGGAAACTGAAATAAATGCAAAGAATACGAAGGACAGTGAAAATGAGCGAGAGGTTTACAATCGTACGTTTATCTGTTTCCAGAACCGGGCTGTTCTTCCCCAACAGTACTCAAGGGTGCCATCAGTTGCAAGATCACGGACGAGCAGTTCCGGGACAGAGTCCCAACTAGACTGCTCTTCGAATACAACCCTCCTTACAAATGCGAGCCCGTTCAACAGCCAGACGGCTTTGATCACAGAGAAAAAATTGTTAAATCCCGGCAACATCGTCGCCAATACCAACAATCATTACTATGTACAGAATTTAAGGAACAACCAGAAGGCCCTTAACGGGTCGCGCTTGTACGATCCTCTCGAAAGGGACCACGATCATAATTACAAACAAGTGGATCCGTTGCTAGTCGAATCTTCCTACACGAATATCAAAACGATCAAGGCAAGCATGACACCCCAAGACAGCAAACCGTTCAAGGATGAGACCACCGATAGACGACCAGAATATGAATTTCAGGAAGCGAAGTCGTCGTCCGTGCCGTATCTCACACAGGTAAGTGATCTCATATTATTTTTTACTCGTCATGATTATTAATCACTGATTGGGCACGCGTAACAATGATACCTGAGTAGATCTAGTTACGAGTCCCACTTCGTTATGTGTCTCTAAACATGCGAAGCTAATGAAATCGTATACCGCAACACACGTAACCAAGGGTTAAAAAGCATCGAGAAATTGTGCCAGAAGATGATCTTATCTAGAACTGGTAGCTCGTACGTTTCAACTTTCATCTAGTACCTGTACAGCGCGTGAGTTTCGTCATAAAAATGGAACGGCATATCATTTATATCACTATTGTAAATAGAAATGTATACATCATTTTGCATAGATAAACTAAAATCTTGAATTTTTTTCGCATCTCCTTATGTCTTGTATGTATTCATATGTATACAATGCGTTACGTATTGCGAGAAAACGACAGAGAAGGAGACTTCGTTCGTTTCTGCCCGCGTACAGAGCGTCAAGGATAATCGGGTCGCAAGATCCTTGATCCATTTTTTCATTCGCCTTAGAGAATCGGTGAATGAACAATCGGTCGTCAGAATCGATTCACCGGCGTACTTCCCGGCTCCAAATAACTTCGGTTTAATAATGTATGCGGATGAGATATCGCGCCAGCCGACCAAGGGAATCGATGAGAGATCGTGAAATGGAAAGGACGTTACGGTGAAGGCCGGGAAATGTTTCGCGGTTTCAAGGGTATCGTACGCGCTACTGTGTCGCGCGATTCGATCGTTGCCGAAGCTCGATCTTCTTCCTGTTCTCTGGTACTCTTACTTCCACGCGAACACGCGATTGCCCGTGCTTCGTTAGATCTTATGTTATAAATCGAATACCGCACGTGCTTTCTCGAGCTAAACTCGCGGGAACATCGTGATCTTCGTCGTTTACGACATCCACGTTGCATATTATACATACGAGTATACGTATAGATACATCCGTAGTTGTATTTATTATTATTATTGCGCAAATCACTCGCAGTAACAAATATCGTACATAAGCGATACGATGCGATAATATTATGAAAAAGGATCATTCATTCAATTAATTCGAACAACTGTTCCTTTTTTTGCGAATCCGCGTATTTGCGTTACTAGCACGCGTGTGTGTGACGAATACCGAAGAGCCCGAACGCGCGTCAATCAAACGCGAGCGACAAGTGAATTGTTTATTACGACAGTAAAACTGTAATCTTTAGTTCGTGTCACGATTCGGCGTCCGGTTTCAACAAATGTAGGAACATAATTTGTGACACGAGAATGTATTGTAATCTTTATTTGCGATTCTCTGCTGTAAGAAGATAAATTGAGGGGATAATCTACGACATGAAATTATTGGTAACTTTTTGTCGTTCCGTGATCCAGCATAAGGCGGTACAGAAGGATCGTCTAGTGAGGGTACATTAAATGGTGCACTATACGCAGCAGATGCGAAGAAGTGAGAAATAAATTGGCGCGCGACGATCCTCGCGCGTGTTTCCTGTGTTCGCAGCTTCGTACCATCGAAAGAAGCAATTACAGGAAACAAAAGATGAATGCATGCATCGCATGCGTGCATAGACGGTTGCACCCAACTTACAGGCGACCTTGCTCGCTTCTATAACTAACGACTTAATTCTTTTTCCACGTATGAATATAAGTATTAGTCTGACGTACATTTGAGACGTTTCGCCAATTGTATTAAGCAGTTGAATAATGTAAACTGAGATGATGCTTTGAAGAAGAGCCTGATCGCGACCACCCATCGAGACACACAAATCGGTCTTTTTATACATTGTTTTTTAGTTAATTTTCAATATGGAATATAATAAAATTTTGATAAGAAAAGAATCAACAAGAATAAATCGGGACTTCGAAATTCTATTTGTTCACGATTTTACTGCAATACAGATAGTTCAATAAATTTATTGATTATGATCCAAAACATCATTTTTCATGAGAAAATACGACTCGATGATACGGAACGGAACTGTATAGCTCGCCCGAGAGAATGAAAAAGAAGAGCAGAGAAGAACCCGCCGCGTTCCGACAAAGACTTTCGGTTACGCAACGCGAAAGAAGGTCGCGGGTAGCAAGATCGATCGATCGCAACATATAACATCTACGCGTTCTTCCGTAGGATCTTGAGTCATTTTTTCAATTATTGAGGTCGTTACATATCGTAATGTGACCCGGTCTTCGCTAGAAAGAAAACCCGAGACGCGTTTCATGGTGATCGGCGAATGTCAAACTGGTTTCTCTAGCGGTCGGTCTATCTACGTTTTCTTCCACTCCAATTTCTTTCTCTCTCTCATCGCCAAAAATTAGTCTCACGTGCCGACAAGGAACGATGAAATGGTACCAGTTACACACTCCCGCTTGTAAACGCCGCACCGCGCGCATACATGAAAGCACGTACGCGCGTATAATCGTCCGATTCGCGGACGATGGATCCTCGGGATGACAAGGGTAGGGATAGTCGCGGCCCCCAGCATCGATTCCCTATATAAACAGGGTTCTACTCATCGATCCACGAGTGCCAATACTGTGTCAATATTATACGGGAACCGACAGCGACGATCAGCTACCGAGAAGAATCGGAATCAGCGACGAAGACTTTTGAAATCGGTTCGACGGCAACGACAAGAAACGACGTTTAGTTTAAAACGCGTGACACGGTGTCGCGTACTCGCCGAGAGCGAACGGATCGCGTTGTTTGGTGAACGATCGGTGCGGTAAAGTTCAATCGATATTGATCGGCGCGAATCACTTCGCACCGACGTTGAAGACGAAAGGGATCGAACCAGGCTTTGGAATATATCGTTCTGAACGATCGCAAGAGAGATCGCTTTTCGTTTTCGTCCCGCCGATCGGGGCTAACGTCGCGCCGTGACGGTCGTCGCGTGGAAGATTCCCGTCGTCGGGTTGTGTCTTCTCTTCGTCACCTTGTACCTATATCTCGATCATCATGAAGATTCTTATGCGAGCTGATACCCATGTGAACATCGAAGTACCAGGCAACTTGCCAGCCGCTAAATGCACCTTCAGTCAGGTATCAGCGACAACGATGACGATGACATTGTGTACTTTATATAGAAATCTTCGTACCGATTTTCTAATCGTTTTCCTCGTGATACGTAACCGATACGGTTTATCTATTAATCAATATTTGACCTTCCGGATCGAATATCGGTCGAGATTCTATCGGATCTCGGCTTAACTGCTAACGTGAACGATTTGAACCGCGTTTTCGCAGCTCGAACTGCGACCTCTCCTGTCCTAGCCACTCCGAGTGTATTTATTATCAGAATCTCTCTGATCTATCATCTAACGATCATGTATTTCAAATTTATTGAAATACGCTTTGGTCTATTCTCAGGTATCCGTTTGTTTGGTAGTACTTTCATACAAATACATGATTCCGATTGCGCGTATAAATAATGTTCTCTGGAACTAGCCATTTCGATTCTGTTTATATGAATTGAAGTAGGATCCCCGTGATTGTAATGATCATCTAATTAAATGTTTGCTTATTATTATCTGCAGGTGGTCGCTGCCCTATCGTTGTCACTGGGCTCTCTGGTGGTCGGTTACTCGACAGCCTACACCTCCCCAGCTTTGGTGTCGATGCGAGCTGACAACAACACTTCATTCGAAGTGAGCACAGATATGGTAAGTAAAAAGTACAATTTTTAAACGTAAGTATAAAGAAGATCGGGCTAAGTGAGGGACGAAACAATCTTTGTCTCGGATCTTTCCGCGGATGAAATTGTTTTTGAAGGAACGTGCCTTGCCAGAAGATCTCGCAATCTCGCCGCGATCCAGTTGAAACAACGTTATCCGGATTCTCGACTTATCCGGCACAGCGCGCGAAGGTCAAACGATCCACCACAAGGCACGTTTGTTTTCGAACGCATGCCGATTACGCGAACGGTTTATATGTACATACGTACTTTCGATAATATTGTGGATTCCTTTGCGTTAAGTCGACAAATCGCGTCCACTTAAGATCCTTAATAAGGGTCAATTTCCATTATGCGTATTAACCGTCAAGTAGTTAGTGAACACGTACCATCCGATAAGTCGGAGTTCATCTCAAACGAGCCGATGATCACGAGTCGTGCCAATCGATGAAAAAGGGGTATGTACGCGTCGCGTATCGATATCCAGGAAGGGTCAATGAATGATTGAGACTTTAACTCGCATAATGCGTCAATGTAAGGAGCCTCCTCGTAACGACTCCGCGTCGCGTTCGGATCAGTCTCAATTGCTGCTATACACGCGGTTCACTCGCTCCGTGATCGCCCTCGCACGTCCCTACTTTGCCTTTCTTAACGTAACCTTCAACGGTGTGTTGGAGGTTTTCATGCGAGAATAGACGCACGTTTTCTGAGCCAAATTAAATCACTTCCGTATTCCTCAATGTCTTGACTCTCGCCTAGTTCGTTCCTTCTTTCGTCTCTCGTTCGCGCGAGAGGATTTACGGTTTCACGCTCCTTTATAAACAAACAATTTCCTTCTGTTCTTCTTATGCGATGTGCTTGCTTTCGAAGTTTGCCACGCGATTAGTGTGTTATCTCTCGAACGTAAATGCATAGTAGACAACTTTGTATTCATACTTCATTATTAGTTGTGTGTTTTGTCTACAAGTGACTCACTGAAGATATTTCAACGTATCATAGAATATATTTGATGAATATCTTGTGTACGTCGAAAATATTATTAGCATCCTAAGTTGAGATCCCCTACCGACGTTATATGTTTAGGCAAAGTTTTAAACAAATCCGAAAATGAACGTAAGAGTTATAAAACATTTATTACAAACATACATTTGGCAGAAGCTACAAAAGCATTTGAACAGAAAAAAATAGATCTAAGATAGAATAGTAAACCAACTGTTTTGATTATTGAACGTATTCATTCATTGCAACTAGATACAGAAAAATAAGCAGCTTCCATGAAAACTTGTAACAATAATTTATGATTTCTTTTTAATAACATATATATCCATAATATAGAGAAGTTCGATAACTCTGTACACATTTTCATATTTGCTTTAATCTTTGTACAATATTAATAGCCGTACCCATTTATGGTATTAGCTACATTTGGAAAAATTTCGTATCACACATTTGATTTATAAAATTGTTCATTGATATTTTCGCAAATTAAGTTAAAGTTACTTCATATATGTATGATTATTTCACAAAATGAATCATATTAAAGAAATCTATATAATTAGTGCACAACGCGCATTATAATTATCCACAAACCTATATAAAATATATTTTGTAATATATCCACCGCTTCTTGCACCATATTTATTTTTGATAACATTTAAATGAAGATAAAATAACTTTATTGTATAAAGGTTATCTTAAGTGGTCTTAAAATAGAGAAATTTAGAAGAATAAATAATTATACAAATCGTAGCAAGAAACGATCAAGAATGAAAGCGGAACAGAGTCATTACGTGAAATGTTTGTTTCAGGGTATGTGGATAGGATCGATCATGCCATTGAGCGCTCTTGTTGGAGGTATAATTGGTGGTCCATGTATCGAGTACATTGGGAGAAGGAACACTATCCTTGGCACGGCTGTACCATTCATTGTAGGTGCGTTTCGAATACGATAACGAATGTATCTCGAAGTTTCAAACAATCTAAATAGCATTTAACATACGTTTATAATTACAGCTTGGCTGTTCATCGCTCTCGCATCGGACATCGCAATGGTACTGATCGGCCGCGCTCTTTGCGGTTTGTGCGTTGGTATCGCTTCGTTATCTTTGCCAGTATACCTCGGTGAAACGATTCAAGCCGAGGTACGAGGCACTCTCGGCCTCTTACCAACAGTGTTTGGTAACACAGGTGAGTGTTAAGAACTATTAGTACGTCACTAAGACCTTATGTTTTAAATCTAATAATAAATCGCCTTTGATACAACGATTACGGCAGTTGCTGTTCGAGCAGTTAATTTTACTTCTCTATTGATAGAGAACAATTAAGAATGAAGTTTTCTCTTTTTAACGTGTTTAGGAATTCTAGTCTGCTTCATCGCTGGGATGTACTTAAACTGGAGAAGTCTCGCATTGCTCGGTGCTAGTTTACCCATACCATTCTTGGTTTTGATGTTCATCATCCCCGAGACTCCAAGGTGGTACATCTCTAAGGGAAAAACGAAGAGAGCCCGTAAAGCATTGCAATGGCTTCGCGCCAAGGGTGCTGATATCAGCGAGGAATTGACCGCCATCGAGAAGATGCATATAGAGAGCGAACATACCGCATCGCAGCAAGGCGCGATCGAGCAACTGTTCAAAAAGCATAACATGAAGCCGCTTTTAATATCTCTAGGCCTGATGTTCTTCCAACAATTTTCGGGAATCAACGCTGTCATCTTTTATACCGTCTCAATTTTCAAAGTACGTGTATTCATGTGTAGAAACGAGTAGAATCAGATTAATATAATATGATAAAAGACATGATTCTATGATTGGATTCTATTTGTATTTTTCAGGACGCGGGTAGCAGTATCAACGAGAATTTGGCTACGATCATAGTGGGGATAGTAAATTTCTTGTCGACATTCATTGCGGCGGCCGTTATCGATAGACTCGGCAGGAAAATGTTGCTATACATAAGCGGTGTCTCGATGTTCCTGACGTTGTTCACTTTCGGCACATTCTTCTATGTAAAGAATGCTATTGGAGCAGATGTGTCATCATTCGGTTGGATACCACTGGCGAGTTTGATCATTTACGTGATCGGGTTTTCCTTGGGTTTCGGGCCAATTCCGTGGCTTATGATGGGCGAGATCTTACCAGTTAAAATCCGTGGTTCAGCCGCGAGTATCGCAACCGCTTTTAATTGGTCCTGCACATTCATTGTGACCAAAACTTACGAAGATCTGACATCTGTAATCGGTGGGTACGGTGTATTCTGGATGTTCGGTACAATCGTTATGATCGGTTTCATTTTCGTGATCGCCTGTGTGCCAGAGACAAGCGGGAGATCACTAGAAGAGATCGAGAAACGATTTGCCGGACCCGTTAGGAGAATGAGCGCGGTCGCCAACATGAAGCCGACGCCGATGGCCGTTTAAATCGTTCCTCTTCTCTTACGCTCTCAATAGCCAATCAGTCTTTTTGATCGACGAGCAATTTGCGCCGATAGTGTTTAGCTTCGTCTCGGAGCAAACGAGATTCGTATAGTTCCTTCCTTTTGTCGATATTGAACGAACAGGAATATGACTAAGAATTGTCTTCCACATCGATTCTTCTCCTTCTTCCTTCTAACTTGAGTTCTGTTGTTTCTTCTCTCCAAGTTTATGCCTTCGAATAGGCGAATATTTGTCCACCTTGTTATTAGCAGTCCATGCTCCGTTTAATGGAGCAAGAATTTATTTCAGAAGGAGAAGGGAGAGCGAGGATTTCGATTTGTTGTATTTATTTCACACGCTTACAGTTTGTCGATTCTATTACGATTTATAAATCGAGAATCTCTAGGAAGGGAAACGATCTGTCGAACAAGATGCGGGTTGAACATCCGGTAAAATGTTATATAATTCTATTATTATAGTCTTTACAGGGTCTACCTCAAAAATACTTTTCCTAAAAGTATACGAGTAAGTTAAACGAAGAGCGAGAATTATTTAATTAATGTGCAATGTGTGTACAGATTTGAAGATACTTACGAAAGGATCGCCTCAAGTGGCCTAAACGAATACAATTGAGAGGAAGAAAAAAGAGAGTGACAATGAGTGAGTGAGTGAGTGAATGAGTAAGTCAATAAATGAGTCAGTAAATGAGAAGAAGAAAAGGGGAACGAAACTGATCTATACACGGTGATCGAACGAAGCTGTCAATTTCGTTCTCTGCTAACCGCTACAATAAAAATTCCATACCGACGAGCAAGCTATTGTTTTGTGTGTATATTTATCGTGATCGTCGTCGACGAATTGTACATATGTATCTAGTTACCGATTTGCGTCACCGGGGCAATTGCATCAGCTATCAACGAATTAAGTCGTAGGTTATAGTTAAGAAATAGGGATAAAAATAATCCGAGTATATTTTTCCATTGTCAAAGTCGGTATAATTGAAGTTTAGATAAAATAGGAACCCAATGAACAAAGCGACACAAAACATAATGCACAATCGCGTGCGCTGTCTCTCGCGTACTCCACATATGAAATTTAAATGTTTTATATTTATTACATATAAGTCTACGTATACGTTTTTCGTGAACTGTTTCTATTATTATATATTGTAACGTGATAGAGGCACACGCTCTTAGTATACTTTTTAATTATTTATCCTGGTAATCAACTGAATTTGAATCACAAGCGTTCACTCCTCAACGTTGATCGTTGAATCAAAATTCGTACAATCTTCTAAATCTATTCGTAATTTCTTCTTGTAATATTCTTTTTTTAAATTGTCTTACGTGGTAACATTATTCCGAATTTTACGATCAGTAGTAGGAAAATGTATACCGTACTCTGGTTTCATGCACGCCGATACCGAGTTCAAACATTACTCTTTTACATGCACACTCTTTTGTCTACCATACAGGAGAATTGTATAATGCAATTTCATCTTTATTACTTACTGCTGGCTTATATTTATTTGACGAAATTTGTATTGCGTATCATACTTACAGGCCTAGGGTACTTGTCGAATTCCGAGACACTGTTCAATGAAAACGTCTTAAAAACTTTTATTTTGCTACTCGCGTTCAGTTTACATATACATTTGTTAAGTTATTGAAATATATTGTTTTACAACGAAATCGGTTCGAAAGTTATCTTACAATTGTTTTAAACTCATGACCCATTGAAATTGAAACCTACTTCAGATTGATCGGTCACAACACGATCAACAGAAATCAACAAATAGCTCTCACAGTCATAACTTAGGAGCTTCTAAAGGCAATGACGAAAACAATAAAAAATAATCATAATTGAACTAGCGTAAACGATTGTGACTGCTGTCAGATATCATATAATCACTCTACTTAATACTGATTCTACATCACGGTCGTACATACAGTACAGTACCTGGAAACTTCGGTGGTGGACGTAGGCCTGCTAATGGCCGGTATTCAGTCGTTGCTTATATTTAAGATCGTCTTAAAGAATGTCCTATTCCTGTCTATGTCTATTCCCAGTCCCTATTTTGTACAGGAAACAGGGAATTAAGCAAATGTTTAAGGCGTTCTTAAATAGAAAGTAACGACTCTGAATACCGGCCAATGAATCGTGCATCATTTTGTATGTATATATGTATACGCATAGCCTTTAAACTTTTCTTAAATACACCAACAACATATAGAGATTAGAAAACGAAGCAGATACTTTGAAAGACGAAGGGTCAACTCACTGCTGTGTTACGCAGTATCGGATTGACGTATTTAATCTCTTCCCGGAAATTGAAAAGGAACAAGCAAAATCATAAAAAGTACATCCATCAACTGACTCAACAATTATTAATTACTGTTCTTTTTACCTCGTAGTTAGCGCTTAAAAGCTTCCATTCGACATATCTAATGTTTGATAAATAATTATGTCCCAAGAAGATAAGATAAGAAAATTGAATGTGCAAATTATAAATGCCATCTGTAGTATATGAAGTATTTGAAATATCAAAACAAAATGTTTAAATGATAAAAGTAATGTTTATCTAAAACACAGCACTACAAAATAATATCAAAAAGATTAGATTTTACATAAAACACCGCAGTCTACTTATTATGAAAATACATGTTCATATTAATCCTCTCGGTCCAATGGTACACTTATGCAACATTAACCTTACAGGTTCACTTTCAATCAATTATTTACATAATATAAATCAACTGGATCTGAAAAGTTAATGTTGCACGAGTGAAACATTGGGACCGATAGGGTTAGTAAACGGATTCTTAACTTAACCTATCGGTTATGTACGCGAATTTGTGTACAACTTACCCATAACTTGAACTCGACAAATCGCACAGGTGTCACACTCCACATCCCAACTCCACATAGCCACGGCGTTCCATTTTTTCAATATAAACATTTTGTCAGTCTTTAAATTGTCATTTTCACCGCGATCACATGAATCTTGTTCCGATTCGGCCATATCGACTTTTTAGGTTATCGAATGACGAATCGTTGCGAAGTATAAAAACATGTGCGTTCGTTCAAAATTTTATAAACAGTTGTTCGAATTTATATACTTTGTGTGTTTATAAAACTTCGTCGCGTGCGCGATAAATGACATTAAATTGCAAAGTAATCAATACATGCAATGCACATACATAAGTAAATTCGGCATACAATGCCGTACAAAGAGTCAAGTAATGCTATTTGAACATCGAGCACGCGGTTCCGGTTCCGACAAAGTTTCAATAACTGTCACTGACTGATAATGTCACTGTGATAACATAATGCTTTTTCTTTGCATTGTGCTGCCATCACACGACAGAAGCTTGAAAATAATTAACAAGTAGCAGTACAATAATAAAGAAATTTCAAGAAATAAGATAAGTTTGAGATCTTAGGTGCTTATACAAGTATCTGTTATTAGTGCTTGAGAAACAGTTCGTTGGTTCATAGTATTCATTAAATATTAGCTCTTTTCATTTGATAATAGTTTGAAAAGAAAATGTTTTAATTTGTTCAACAAACACGTGAAAGTTCAATTGTTGTAAAATTAGAGTTATGGACTGTAGAGGTAATAATATATTAATTTTTGTATCATGTAATCATAGTAAATTGGAACACAAAAGATAGTTTATCATTAAATTTTTACTTTTTTTTCCAGATGGTTTGACATATGTAGTCATTTTACTCGAACAAACAGGAGTGTATGCAAATTGAATCAATTATGAAAATTTTCTTCATGGTAGTATCTCATGTATGAATTTACAAAAATGTAGAACTTATGTAAACTTGAAATAATTTATGTAACTTAGTTTCTGTGAACTGCTCTGTCTAGAATTTTCAAGCTTCCTTTGATTAACTTCCTCCTTACTTTTTCTCTTATTCACTTGGTTTAAAAGAAACAGTAAATCCTTTAAACTCAGAAGCCTCAACATCGAATCTTCTAAACTCCAAACCTCTATGAGTTCTTTGTTTTTACAAATAGCAATTCTTTTAGGAATGAATATATTGTGCGTGAGTACACAAGAAATAGATAGCTCACTTACTATTTTATGGACTGTTCTTTAATATCTATAACTATGATGTTACAAGTCAATAGAATGCAGGTTTTATAACTAGTGCGTTTTATATTTGATTGTGTGGTATCCTTAGAATCGTATCATGTGCTTTCTTTTATGTATAGTCATTGATTTTTCATTTTTCCTAAGCGATACTGATAATTTTCTACTTTACTCTATTTTGAATTATTTTTTATGTAATGGTTTCACAGATTCCTAAATAGTAGTGTGGAATTTGTTGTAGTTCTTGTAGTATATAGTTTTTCATCAGTGTTCTTCATATTTTGTTGTTGAATAAGATGGTCATATATAATTAATGCCTACTTTATTTTGTACAAAAGAATTAAATTGTGAAGAGTATTCATTTTATGCATTTGTTGCTATGCCGCTTTCTGCACAAACATATAATTTGGTTAACATCCCATAAGTATATATTATGTCGTTAAAAGTTATATAGACATTTTTATCTCAAATTTATCTATTCTACAAAACTTGCTCATAAAAGAAACAAAATAATATTCGCATGCACTGAATAACTTTAATTTTTTTGTATGATTTCTTGTGTATAAGTAATAAATTGTCATGTCTAGCTTCAGTTTTTGAGTGTAAACTTTTTCCCGTATTGACGACAAAAGTTTTTCGTTTCGTGTAATTATAATGTGTTTCAAAACTTTGATTTCTGAGAGCAATTTCTCCGAATTTCTTAAACTAAAATGAATTTAAGATTCCAAATACAGTTTATTTCGTCTCAAAAAAGACATTGTGGAACTTGATCGAACTATATTTATATGTATACATATACAATATTATTGGTGACTATGTGCTAAAATCTACATCTACGTCTTCTACTACTACCACTTATTTCCATTTCCATACTACAGTAAGTCGCGAACCCCCGCCACATGGTACGGAATTGCTATCGGTCATTTAGTATAGAGCGCAATCGAATCAAACAAATCGCAAGTTAGTTGGAGACAACAGTACGCGGTAAAGTTAGAGTTAGTCATCGTCACAACCAGCCTCAGTATCGTAAGAACTTTCGTGTTCTACGGTTATCAGGTGTAAGACTGAAATTGAAACCCGTACAACTCGAACTGTTCGTAGGAATACACAGAAACTGTACGATCATAAAGCCACCACAAGGAAGTATCAGGTAAGTCAAAATTGTCGACGAGACATTTGAATTGAAACTTATATCAACACTTATACAATCGTGTAAATATTTATTTGTGTCTAACCATTAAATCTACTGTCCAACATGTTATCAAACAATTATATTTTACGGAATAAATAAGATGACATTTCATCATATTCAATGACCTATCAAATTCATGAATAATATGGATTGAAAATTTTCAAACAAGTAAACTTTTGCTGATGTTTAAAATGCTGTACAGATTTCGATGTAGCGTCATCACCGGTAACGGGTTGTAAATTCGTTCCCCACTACATAGCTGATACTTAATGTTTTGCTGTTTTTAGATATTGAATAAATAGGAAAATTATCGTGTATAACTCATCCGTAATTAAATTTAAAAAGTGATAACAAAACAAATTATATTCATTTGAAAATTTACTTATTTACCTTTGAGAGTAATCTAAAGCCGTTGATTGGTGCGTTCGGCTGCTTCGTATCGTATGTTCGTTTCAGCTGGGCAATCGGCCAATCACGATCTCCGACGTCAATGTAAAAAGTTGATGATTCCACCTGCTAGATATCATTACGTTTACTCTAAATCACACTACATAGGCATATCGTAATGTATATATAACAATTCTAAGACACCCATCACGTGTTGTAGGCACCACGTGTTCCTTATAGAATTTTCTGTTTTTCTAGGCTCTTTAAATACTTACGATTTGATTAAATCTCGATTATATTCTGTCTCTCAAAAGAAGGAAGATTCATTTCGTGCCCGATTGAAACATGTACTGTATACATGTAGTTATTTAATTTCAACTACACTCCTGCCCCACTTAACGTGACGCAAAATTCTTTAGTCATTTACAGCCGTATAAAATGGACAAATTTTTATTAAAGTTTATCAATGATGAATAATAAAAAATATGAAAAATAGTTCGTTGTCATATCGGTTCATGATCGGTTATCCTAGTCTAGTAATATGTCTATATTTCTTTATAATTGTTTTATTATTTTTCTAAAACAAACATACGATGGTTATTACTATTCGTTTCCTTTCTTATTTATTTACACATTGCTCACGGTTTCATCTTACTTTAATGATAAAATAGAAAAATAAGCTGTGAGTTTTAATGTTATGTAAAGATTAAAAAAATACATTAATATTTATGTATATACAATAATGTATTTACATATTATGATAAAATGTATGCTAATTTTAATAACGAAGTAATCATTTTTTTAAATCTGCAACTAGGTGATATGAGATTGCTTTGAATCTTATTTTACACGCGGAATATACGAGAAGTAATTTTGACTAAGGGCACTATATTTAATTCTGTAAGTATGCTGTATCGTAAGATATGTCAGTTGTCATGTTTTAAAAAATTAAAAGCCAATTGAAAACTTGTTAAAAATGAAGTACATTAAAAACTCGTTAGCCTTTGTACAAAGATGAAGAATTGGTTACGTTATCAGCGTAAAATTACTACATAAACTCGTAGTTACAGAAGATTAGGCAAAAGATATCTAATATAATGTAGCATGTTGAAGAAGTGGGAGTATGATGGGGTCATGGGGCAAGTCTATGAAATCTGAAGAGAATATTTAAAGCTCGTACAATCAAAGATTTTAGTTAGTTTCTAGAATTCTTTTGCGTGCAGTGAACATTTATCCATTTCTTGTCTTATTTTCCTTCATCTTTTAAATATCGATAGGTAAGTTATAACAGGCAATATAATTATTGAATGCTAGCAATTATTCTGAATTTCAATTTTATTTTTAATTCTTGAATTTATCGAGGATTA